GTTTATCTTTCATTATGGCAGAGTAGTACTCTGTTGTGTATTGTGGACATTTTCTTTGTCCATTCATCTACTGATGGGTATATAGGCATTTTCAAGATTTAGCTATCATAAATTGTGATATTATAAACATGCGTGTGCATGCATCTCTGTAATATGAGGCTTTAACTCTTTGGGGAAGATTCCAAGAAGGGGAACAGCTGGGTCAAATGACATTTTTATGTTTATTTTGAGGAATCTCCACGTGACTTTCATAGTGCTAGTGTTAGTTGACATTCTCACAGAAGTGTAGAAGAGTTCCTTTCCCTCCACATCTTCAGTAGATGTTGTGGCTTGTATCTAGAGGTCCTTCCAAAGCTTCGTGTGGTCACAGGTGGGAGTTTTCTAAAGTGGCTGGATCTAGGGTGTGTGATGCTAGGATTACGGGTGTGGTGTTGGGATTAAAGTGTGTGATCCCTAAACTAGTCCACCAACTTGTTTTGCATAGTTCTGGGTGTGGATAACAGGAAGGCCCACGCTGGGTGTTGGTGGCACCACCTGAAAGGTGGGTAGCCTAAAAGGGAAAGGGAGAGGCAGGCTGCTGCAGCTCTTGCTGCTTGTTGCTTCCTGCTTGCATGCGATGAACTGTTTCTCCTTTCTGATGCCCTTTTGCTATGCCCTCCCTACTCTGGAGCCAGCCAACTATGGACTGAAACCTCTACAAACTGTGAGCTGAAATAAATCTTTTCTTTTTCAACGTTGGACATGAAGTATTTTGTTTCAGCAATAAAAAAATAAGATGTGACCTTAGACAGTTTAGCCTGTTAGCATCAATTTCCTCCTTTGTAAATTGAATATAGTGGGGACTAAACAAGACTATAGTAAAGCTATTAGCTCAGTGCTTATGAAATAATGCTCATTTAAAAATTCATGCAAATAATACTTTCCCTTAATGTTTCTGCTACCTCGCTGGTGAAAGGTGTTCCTTCTCCTTCTGAATGTCTCAGGCATAAGATTTGATTTAGTGACAAGGGCAGATGTCTTCCTGTGGCAGCACCAGGATGTAACAACTTCTTACCCACAGAGTGTGACTTTTTCTCATATGACCCTGTTTTTCTTGCCACTGTGTATTAAGTATCAGGGTCCCTTCCTGTTTTCTGCAGTGACTGCACCTGGCCTGTTCTATCCTTTTCTTGGATCCATGCTGATGAATCAACAAGCTGGTAATGCTGTTTGTTCCTGAACCTACCTTCAGGACCCCCATCTCTATTTTGCTAACCACCAGCAAGGAAACTATTTATTATTGGAACAATTGCATCTCATTTAAATTCTGAAATTGTTTGACCAGCATCTCTTTCATTTTCTCACTATGAATTTGGGATTCAGTCTGGGCCCATGGCCTCTGTTCTGGCCCCACCTACATTTAAGCATTTTTGTTCACCCATCTCAGTGAGTCTCTTCATTCAAAGGTGGACAGTTACCTGAATGAAAAAATCCACCATCAATGTTATTTGCTTATCTCCAGCCACTAAGCCAGAAGACCCAAGTTGTTCTCTGTATTATTACTTAGTCCTCCGTTGAACCCTCTTCAGTGTTAACGTTATCCTTATACAGTACTTTGGTTATTTCTGTTTTTCTTATAAACTATTTTTATAATTTGTTTTTCTAATTCTTATCACCCTAAGATACCTCATTCTTCTGTTTTCTCCTTTCCTTCAAGTCCACAAAGAATACTTTTCACTTGCTGCCCTACCTGTTCATTTTCATTCCCTCCCTAAAATTGCAATTTGTGCTATTGTAGAAACCAGTGAACATAGCAGGCCACAAGTCTGCTCCAAGGTCGGTGTCTGGCCAGAGCCTAAGAACTGGGTTTGTGAAAAATTCATTGCTTTTTGGTCAACACTTTTTTTTCTGGGGACCCTAAATAATCTGCTCTCCTTCTGGGAGTCTGGAGTTTTGATAGTTATGCCCCATCTTCATGCCTACAAGATTAACTGTCCAACAAACATCCGTGGACTTTTGAGAGTGAAGTGGGCCATCCTGACCAGAAACACAGCACAAAACATAGGAAGCCTGTGTGCAGGTTTTTCTAAACTCCATGTTTGTTGTTTTTGTCAATCCTGTTGCATACACTTGATCGTTAACTATAGCCTGAGTCCTGTAAACCCTCCTATTGTCACCAAGTGTGTGGGCAGGTTAGGACTTCTTGAATTGCCATTCAATCCAAATTGCTCTGAAAGGTAGATGTATTCATCAGGAAAGAAGAAACTGAAGCCTAGTAGTCTTTCCTTAGTCTGTTGATGGTATTCTTGAGTACTGTGATGGGCTGCATTCAACATCAGCTGACAATTCTCTTGCCTCCAGAAGCTCTCTCCCTTGGCTTTAATAAGATGGCCCTCTCCTGACCTTTCTTCATTCATGCATTTATTGCCTATGTGCTCCACCTGGCTGAGTATACATCAGTGAAACTGTCATGGTGCAGCCTATGGCCTAGTGAGACAAGACAAAAAGCTGATGGTATGAGCTGAGGAAAGTACTGTGATAAGGTGACTACAATGGACGATGCACTTCAGGAAAGTCTGGTAAAAAACCAAGCAAGTGTATTAATGCAGAGTTTAAGAATAAATGCTCAAAAAACCACTTAGCACCTTCTTGGGATTCAAAAGGACACTGGTGCAGCTAGAACACTGGGAGAGGTGGGAGTGGAGGAAATGAGAGAAGCCAGGGCTGAAGTCACTACAGATCGTAGGTTGTGTCTACAACTTTAAATAATGGAGCTGGGGATAGTAGCACACACATGTAATCTCAACACTTTGGAAGGTGAGACAAATTCGAGGTCAGCCTGGCTACACAGTGAGTTCAGGGCCAGCATGAACTACATAATGTGATCTTGCCCCCTACATCACAGGAATAATGATTACATTCCAGAAATGTAAATACTGTAGTTCTGGATCCATGATGCTTCTGCTGCTTATCAATGAGATCTTAGATGGGTTATTTCACTTTTATTTTTGTAAAATGGGACTAACATAGTACCTACCTTAGAGTTGTTGGATGAGTAAATGAATTCATAGACACATATGAGGCACGAGTTTGCACATACAAAATGACCAATCAACATCAGTCATGCAGCCGTCCAGGACTCCTTTGCCTCCATATATTCTGAGGTGCACTTCTCCAGCACTCAGTCCGGCTGCTATTTTCATGAAAGCCGTGACTGGAGATTGCACACTAGTCACATGGGACTGCCTGCTCTGAATTCCCATGCCACTCTGCAAGGAGAAACCTAACATCTGGAACTGCTACTAAGCATTACTTACTTCCGTCTGCAATGTTTGACGTTTTGACTTTGATTCATTTATTAACAAATACTGAGTAACAGGGGCTGGGGATTTAGCTCAGCGGCAAAAGCGCCTGCCTGGCAAGCGCAAGGTCGTGAGTTCGGTTCCTGGTACCAGAGAAAAACCAAAAAAAACAAAAAACAAAAACAAATACTGAGTAACTATATGTGTTCCAAGTAATTTGTACTAGGTTTCTATTAAATTCTCATCTTTTGTCCTTCAGGTATAATTTCTACATTTGATCTACAAAAGACAAGTATTTGAAGTTTATTAGCAATCTGTTGATAGAAAATGAAAAGAAAATCCCTCTAAGTAATCAAAGAAATTTTAAAAGATAGGAAGGAAAAGATGACTGTTGTAGTGGCCCAAAATAGCCCCCAAAGGCTCATGCGTTCCGAGGGGGTGCTTCTGGAAGCTTGGATCCTGAGGACTCAATCACTGGATCAATGCACTGATCGATTCATAATTTGATGGCATTATTGGGAAGTGAAAAACCTTAGGAGGCTGGGCCAAGTTGAAGGGAGTGGCTCACCGAGGTTTGACCTCAGGGACTGGCTTGTCCTTGTCCCTGGCCCCTCCCCGACTCTGGCTCATTCCCTCCTTCACTGCTTCCTGGTTGCCAGGAAGTGAGGCTTCCCTCTGCCACGTCCTTCTGCTATGTCTCTGCCTTACCACAGGTCTAAAAGTATTGGACCCAAATAACCTTGGACTGAAACCCTCAATCTGAGCCAAAGTAAACTTTTCCTTCTTTAATTTATCTCAAGTATTTTTTCACAGTGATAGAAAACATAGAGACCGCTGAAAAATATCTACAGCTGGGTATGGTGGTGCATACTGCTTCTTGGGAACCTGGGCCAGAAATATGATGAGTTTGAGGTCAGCCTAGGTGACTTAATGAGACCCTGTCAAAGATGGACAGGCAGACAGACAGGCAGAAGGAGGAAGGACAGGAAGGAAAGAAAAAAGGGAAGGGAGAAGGATGGGAGAGAAGGGAAGGAAACAAAAACATCTAAGCATTCATTAGCTATCTCAAGGTTACCAAATTTACCAGTTCAACTGTGAGTACAAAGTGTTCAAAAGTGGTGGTTTCAAAGCTTTGGACTGGCTGGGCGTGGTGGCACACACCTGTAGTTCAAGGCACTCAGAAGGCTGAGATGGAGGATCGCTTGAGTCTAGAAGTTCTGGGCTGCAGTGCGCTATACCAATCGGGTATCCGCACTAAGTTCGGCATGAGGGAGCAGGGGACCATCAGCTTGGCTAAGGAGGGGTGAACTGGCCCAGGTCAGAAACGGAGCAGGTCACAACTCCCATGCAGATCAAAGCTTTGGACTGAGGAAAAGGATGCAAGCAATCCCAGCCCAAGCTTAAAAGTAGCATTAATCGTTCTTACTGATCCTCCAGCACTACATTTTATATTTTCTGAATGTTACTAGAATAGGTGGCATCTATTAATACTGTACCAAGTTTCTGATTTTGAGTATCAAATGTTAAATAACTGATTTATGAGGTTGCTCTTTTTCATGGGAATTTAGTTATTGTTGTTTTTGGAGCTCATTTTCACTTCTAAGTCAAAACGGTTTCCAAATGTCAGAGGGTGAGGCTGCACAGGGAACCACACACCAAGTTACAGATATAACAGACACGGGCCTTGACCTTAAGGCACACAATAATATGCAAAAGATGGATGATACCAAAGTATTTATTGTAAATGTAGTGGCAAATATACTGAGAGGAATCATTAAAAAGGAAGTAGAAAATTACACATGTTGAAAGTATGTGCTTCTTTCCTGCCACCTTTTAGGTTATGGCTAGTACCGACATTTTAGGTAATAAAACACTTAATGGGATGGTCCATTTCCACATAATTTCATGATTGTGTCTTCAGCTTAATTTTAAAGCAGCTGACATAAATTTCAGTAGCAATTACTATTCTCCATCTTTATCAATTCTGTAATGATTTGTAGAATCTTGTCATCTGAGTTAAAGAAAAAAACCATGAATTAATACAACACTAATTTATTTTCTAGTGTACACACATGCAAACAAGTAGTATATGTCATTAAAAGATTTTCTTAAAGTATTAACACCAGCAATATTCACAATAATACTACAGATGCCTATAAAACATTATTTTTTACTCTAAAATATTATGTTAATTATTGTTATACCTATTTTAGCAATGTTAACATTTTGGGAAAAAAAAAAATCAACATTTATGTATGTATAGGCTAAGACCCCAAAAAGTTGTATGATATAAACTGTTATTTCTTTATAAGGAATTTTTTATTTAAGAATTTCATTAAGACAAGAAGTTTCCTGAGTTTTTCACCAGGCTGAAGTATACTGAAAGCTCTCTTGAGACTTGCATGTTCTTCAGAGTGGGACAGGATTTTCACAGCACAGGCAAGGCACAACTGTTACTGGTTTTTGCATGTTCAATCCAAAGAGAGCAAAACACTCTAACCGAGAAGTTACAGTGTCGTGTTGGAGTCTTGGAGAGGTGTCAGTGGGGGAAGTGATGGGCCCCTCTACATTACAAAGGGATCAAACACCAACTGATTTGACAAACAGAGCCAGTGAGGAGGTATTATTTGCCAATGTGGTATCCTTAACACCTGCTTCTACATCTGAACAGGTGCTCCAAAACTGTGACTTCCTAAAAGTGTCATAATCACTTTTTCAGAAAGTTGTAATTATCAGGGCTACCAGACTAAATTACTACATTTATAGTGGTTTCAGCGCTGTTGGTTTGCAATAGGCATTTTGACAACTGAGCCTGTGGTGGGACCATCAGCTTTGGGGGGTTATAGTACAATTAAAAAAAGGGAAAGAAGAAAAGGGTGGGAAAGGGGGAAGAGAGATCACTTGCTAGAAGTGGAACAATATCACTTCTAGAAAAGATCATGCTTTTTTTTTTTTTTTGGTTTTTTTCCAGTACCGGGAATCGAACTCATGACCTTGTGCTTGCCAGGCAGGTGCTGTGCCGTGCTAAATCCCCAGCCCCACGATCATGCTTTTTAATCTGAGGAAGAGGGTGCAAGAAAGTACAAGAGCAACTACAGCTACTTTTCAAAACTTTGAGAGTCAATCACAATTTTTCTTTACAGTAAGCCCAGAAACAGGACACTAATATATTTGATCTTCCTTCCCAAGTCCAAAGCAACTTTTGCTTTCTCTTTTACAGCAAAGAGAAACACTGAAATCATTTTAAAATTCATGTAAAAGTTAATTCATTTGAAAGATAAGGTTAAACCTGTCCTTTATACAATGCAATTCTAATACTGAAGTTGTAATGCACAAAGTGCCCTAAGAAGTTCATAACCCTTAATGTTTAGATTATGTTGAGACCTGATCTAAGTTTCTAGTGATACAAGAAAACTGATACAGTTCAATGTTTATGCATTCAAAACTTAGTTATACAAATGGACACCGAGTGTGAGTCTTCAGGGTAGGACCATTTATCTATCAGCAGCTTCCCAATTTGCCAGGCTGTGAGAATTAACTGCGGATACTTTGTCACATGTAATAATCACAAGGAACTCACTGATCAATTGTTAACATTATTAAAAACAGAAAAACCAAACTGAAATGCTTCATGATGTGATGCCATGGGAAGAATATAGTACCAATTAAAAAATATTGTTTTCCTAAAACTCAACTCTAATCAAGCCTATAGGTATGTGACTAAAGTAGCAGCTTAGAGGAAATTTAAGAGCTACTGAACTTGTTCAACCAAAGCTTAAGGATGCAACCAACCAAATTCTACAAGTGTGACATTCCACCAGAGAAATAACCCACTCAAAAATATAATAAACTACATTTAAAAAGGAGATGGTAGTAGAGGGAAAGTGTTACTGAATAAAAAGCTAGTAATCATAATATGACCATAGGCTTCACCTATACAGAAGATTAATATGGCTTTGGATCTTATTTTTCAACTGTCAGGATGACTCTGATGATTTGGCAAATTAGGGAAACCTTGTCCCAGGCTAACTGGAAACTCAGGTGTCTATTTCAGATGTCTGTTGAAAGGTAAGGTATTTATTTTGCACAGATAATAATTTTGCATAAATGAGAAATGCAGTATGTAGAAAACTTGCTGCAATAAATCTAATAGAAAGTTGCCTATTTTCAAAAAACCACTACATTACTAAAATAGTAATGTAATTTAATAGGATGGTAATAATTAGCAAAATTTATGCTCAGTTTTTTTTTTTTTTGGAGACACGGTCTCACTATGTAGTCCAGGTTGACCTCGAACTTACAGTGATCCTACTGCCTCAGCCTCTGGAGTGCTACAACTACAGGAGTGTGCCATCACTGGGTTATGCTCAGTTTTTATTATCCCTTTTTCTGTGGAATGGCCAGGAATTTAGAAGAAAAATTGAGAAGAGACAGCAGTAAACTAAAATAATCATAAGAGAATACTTACATTGTGAATAGGGTAATCACACATTGTCTGAAATTGGTAGAATTCAGCATAAAATATTTTATTAAATTTTTGGGCCCCTTTTCTTTTGTCCATCATTCATCTATCTATCTATCTATCTATCTATCTATCTATCTATCTATCTACCTACCTACCTACCTACCTACCTACCTACCTACCTAATCTATCTGTCTTTTGACAGGGTCTTGCTAACCTGCCTAGGCTGGCCTTGAACTTGGGATGCTCCTGATTCAGCCCCCCAAGCAGCTGAGATTACAGGTAAGTGCCACTGTGCCTCATAAAATAATTTTTAATCACATGTAATTTATGAGTTCAATGTGCTACTCTGCACTTAATGTTAAATAACTTCTAAACTGTTAAAAGACTCTCTTAGAAAGGTTTTCTATGCATTAATGCATATAGGTATGTTTACACACATACATATAAAGAATATATATATATATATATATATATATATATATATATATATATATATATATACAGATACTCTCAACTATATTACAATTACATACTTACTTTCAAGAGACATCTTTGGATTTTCAAGCTTTTTCCTTAAAACAGAATCAATGAGAACTCTTAGCTGCTTGAAAATGACAGCTATCTTTACAGGAGCCTATTGAGGAGTCAAAAAAATGGCCAAAGTTAATTCATGGAAATATGAATGTGTTTAAATAAAGAAAAGCATGTATTATACATCTTACCTGACTTAATTCATCTTGATTTTTAACAGAAAATACAATGGAGTAAAATATGGGTAAATCATTTCTGGTAGCTACACTGTACAAATCTTCTGATTTCCTTTTTCTTTTGCTGTAACTATTATTCTAATAACTTTACTCTTACATAAACTCTGTGGGAGTCATGACTGAAGTTTTGGGGACAGAAATTTGTTAACGGCCCTACTGAAATATAATTTACAAACCATAAACATGTACGCTCCTTGCTAAGGGTCTTTGCTTTTTCAGGGTCTCACTTTGTAGTGCAGACTGGCCTCGAACTCAAAGTGATTCTCCTGCCTCAGACTCCCAAGTGCTAGGATTATAGGCATGTACCACCACATGGGTTTCAATGATTTTAGTAAATTTATAGGGTTGTTCAAGTATTACCACAATGCAGTTATAGAACAGCTCCACTGCTCCAGCTTCTCTGCATGAACCAAATACTGTACTTTTTTAAAGTTGTGTGTAAAACTCACCTTTCTAGTTCAAGACACAACTATCATGCTATAGCATAATGGAACACATTGTATTTGCTTAGTTTATGCTAATCAATATTGCCAGGGCTACAGTGGAATTAACTTATTACCAGAAACAGACAGCTTGGTCTAATGTATCCAAAGAAAGTGACAGCATGTGTTAAAAACTATGAATGGTCTTTGTATGGGTGGCCAAATGTAGTAGAATAAGCAAGTGTTAGAGGGCTGATAATCCTAGGTTTGAGTCTTGCTCTACCAATAAACAACCAATATAATCTAGGAAAGTTATTTAATTTCTTACTGTGCTTGAGGGACTTTATACAAAGAGAAACCATAAAGATCATCTAAAAAGGTTGTCAGGATATTATATTGGATAATGTATATAATTATATTGGATATTACATTGGATAGTGTATATAAAACTGGTAACAATATATTTTGATTTTCAAATTTAATAGATTTAAAAGCATAAAGATAAAATAAAGAAGTCTTCTACTCTAAGTTATTATAGGAAGAGAGTACATAAACTTCAAAATTTTAAAGCTTTAATGATATTAGAAGCGAGTACATAAACTTCAAAATATTAAACCTCTACTGTAATGGCATTAGAAGCTGAAAATTTTTATGTGACCAATAAAATCAGTTGTGTTGTGTACCTGAAAATAGATCCAGCCATCAACAGAAAGAAGACGTTCCCGGTGTTGAACTTCTATCTCACCTCCAAAGAGTAAAACTGGAAAAGGAGTTATTAGCGTTGTTTCCCTTAAATACACTCTGCCATACCTTATCTATATAAGAAAAAAAAAAAAAAAACTTCAGAGTCTAAGAATATATATTCCTGGACCATAAATGAATCTAGGTACCAGTAATTTTATAATGCTAATGGTATTAAATAATTAATGTTAAAATATAGCTACAACTAAGTTTCAAGTTTCTGTATCAATGGTCAGCTGGTCAGTAATTTTTCATGTTTTACATTTAAGCTTCAAAACGTCAGTTTTCAAACCAGTCCTTGAAACTGTGGGTCGTTGTTACTTTGAGACAGATAATGGAGGCATTTTTAATAAAGGGAGGAGAAATACGTTTCATTTTGATTGATGTGTTCTCTTTTCTCTTACACTGTCTTAAAAATGAGTCAATAAGATAGGTAACAAAAAATCTAATATGAAACACAGAATATGCCACCTTTTACCATAAGTTCAAGAAAATGCAATAGAAATGCAGCTATAATTCAAAAAGTTGATTGTTTTAACCGTAATCTATATTTGCTATTAAATTATCTTACGTCATCCATATTTCTACTACTCCATCTAACACACCCCTTATCTGAAATGGAACATACGACATATATTTTTCCCTTTTGAGACCACACCTTTTAGTGAAATACTCAGGGAACAGATTTATTATTAGCCAATATCTATTTGCTATGATTGTCTTTATTCCGAGTAGCAAACGTGATGGTCAGAGTAGAAATCTTACTAATTTTCTTTTAGTAAATTGAAGAATTAAACATGTTTTTGTTTTGTTTGAGAATCTACATGCTTCTTTGTTTCACATATAAACAAAACTGAATAGTATAAACTGAGAATTAAACGAAACACCCACTTGGGCATCCCAACTTGTCACAAATGACTTTTAGACTAATGTTCTGAGTACTGCAATTAAATGAATACTTTACCTTCTCCTGATATAAAAGCCATCCATAAGTTTGTAAGTCTCGATTTACTGAGGATGGATGTACTTGTGCTTTGCCTTGGGCTGTCTCCACAACACAAGCCAACTTTTCTGTAACATCCACTGACTTTGTATAGATTATTTTCCCCACATTGTCATACAGTCCTGCAGCCAATACAGCTTTAAGAAGGGCCATTTCTTGGAAAGAGAGTGTCTGTGAGGCTTGCTTTCCTTCCCAGCTGGTAGATGTTGTAGAAGATGAAAATCCAGCTGCCTTAACCAACTTTATTAGTTCCTGCTTTACATCCTAGATTGGTTTATGTTAAAAAAACAATCATAATTGATTAAAATACAGAAATTTCCTAAAAGCTTGTAATTTATACTACTGTTTCCTACAGGAAAGAGAATGCTAAGTTGTTTCGTTGATTGTAACCCCACCCAATTAAGCTAGAGTAGAAAAAAAACCATAAGAATATTTATGAGAACAATAAAAATATATCTGAATACAATTTCATTCACCATTTTTACTCCAATAGTGGTCCACCCCCAGCCCCTGGACATTTTTACTCAACTAAGATGATTACATACAGAACAGGACTGGAAAAGAATTCCAGAGGAATCTTGATCCTAGATTGCAGGTATCTTTACTTGTCTCTGGGAATCTCACCTGAATTTCATTAGTAACTCTGATAAAGTTTATTTATTATTTAATCTAAAATTGTGGCCAAAAATATTTTTCTACCTTTAATATTGTCAACCAGCAAAACTACTACAAGGACAAGCATTATTCAAATTCAGTGGGATACAAGTAATGAAAAGGTGATGTTTACTTGTAGGATATTCTTTAGGCTTAGCAGAGGCTCTGATTCCAGGGGAGGAAAGTGTTACAGCACCACAGAGCTGGCAAAGTGACCTAAAACCTGGCGGGTCAGAAGAGGTGAAGAAAAGGCTCAGAGCAAGAAGAGGGTGGAGGCAATCTGGAGGTCACAGGAAAGTTAAGACGACAGAGAAAAGGGCTACATTGGAGAAATACATCACTTTTGGGCCAACTAACTGGGACTTCCACATTCTGACTCTTAGTTATTTGGCCCAGAAGTGGCTATTTCCAGAATGCAGAAAATGCCATAGGACAATATACCTTGTTTTTTAAAAAATAAATACCTAATAGGAAAAAAAAAAAATGGAAAGAGCAACTATAGATGAAGAGACTTACGGACATATCAACCAAATTTAATGTGCAAACCTTGTTTAGCTCATGATTTGAACTATCTATAAAGAATTTAAGAGCTCATTGGGATATTTAAACATTATATATTTGATGATATTAAGGAACCCAGTGATAACATTAAAGGAAAAACAAAGAGTCCTATAATTTAGAGATACACAATGATCTGACACCTTGGATTTGCATAAAAATAATCCAGAGAACAGAAAACAAGGTTGGCCACATGTTGGCAGTTACAGAAACAGGTACACGGGACTTCAGTATAGTAGTCTACTTTTTGGTATGTTTGAAGTTTTCCATAATTAAAGAAAAATAACAATTTTCAGAGTTGAAAAGAAGATAAATTAGTCTCCTTTGATTTTTTCCCCTTAAATGTGGAACTAAAAGAGATTAACTCTACTGACCCTCAGGCTAGTGTTATTTCTGTAAAATCCTGCTGCCTTTTTTGGGTCATTTGCTCAATATATAATGATTGCTAAGTAATGTTTTAATCACTGTATGATATCTACAAGTTACTAGTTAGAAGAAACGAGAATGACAAGCTTATTAACTCAACAATTGTTTATTAAATATTCACTATTTGTCAAGTATTATCTATCCTAGGCATTCCTTTTTCTGAAATAAACCTATTATAATCATCCATCTGACTGAATTAGAGAGGTGTATTAACAATTACCTCTAGGGTTAACAGCGATGTTCTATTAAGAAAGTTCCTCCGACAGTATGTGATTTCAGAACGATAGCCTCCTTCCTGCCGTGCTTTCTTCCATCTGAACAAAATGTTAATAAATGAATAAAGCTCACCATATTTTCTTTTCAAGCTCTCTTTTTCAGAGATGGTAACCACAGAAATTTTAAAATTATAATTATTTAAAGGGGTCTTGCTTGTTATAGCAGCTATATTATATAAAAATTTTAATTGTAATATGTTTTTCTGTTTATCAATAACAATAATTAAATTACTTTAAATATAAAAAATATATGCATATAATATTAAGTATATAGTTCTTAGAGAGCATATTAACTATGAATCTAACATAATTATACCTTGAGAGATGAAAAACTAAAAATAAATTTAAATCGATAATTTTTAAAAAGTTAATACCTCAGGTTAATGGCTTATTGATAACAAGATTATCTTTTTACCCTAGATATGCATTGTAGATCGTCAAGTGGTCCGAATCTGCTATAGCCAAAGCTGATTTTGCAAGATCTGCTTCATCTTTTCGACCAATTGGTGTGATAAAAGGAGACTTTTCTGTCATAACTGCTGCCAGTGTTGCCTGCGCATAAATAATAAATAATTTGTCATTAGAAATATACACTGAAAGCCGGGCTGGGTGCTGTATGTCTATAATCCTAGCATTTGGGGGATTGAGGCAGGAGGACTGTGATGAATCTGAGGCCATCTTGGGCTACACAGTGAGTCTGAGGCGAACCTGAACTATGTAGTGAGACCCTACCTCAAACAAAACAAAACAAGTACTGAAAACTGATGTGTAAAAAAGCAATTATCATAATTAAGTTCCCTGTATTTACCACACTTTACCACAGCTAACATATTTTCATTTAAGTAGTTACTTTTAATTTTGTTTTATGGACTTTAAAAACATGTTATTTATTTTTATAGCAAAGGCAAAAAAGGAACAGCACCAGAATCAGAAAAAAAAACTGGGAATGAGTATACATAATTTATAGTTTGTAAGCAGACAAAATCTCAGAATCAGAGCTCAGTTATCTTGACACCTAGACTGCTGATTTTCCATCGACTGCACTGCTATTTAAAAGTAAACTGGAGCTGGGTGTGGTGGCATATGCTGGTAATCCCAGCACTGGGGAGGCTGAGGCAGTAGGATCGTTGCAAATTCAAGACTAGCCTGGGCTACAAAGTGAGCACAAGGCCAGCCTGAACTGCATAGCGAGACCCTGTCTCAAAACAAACACACACATACACACACACACACAAAGTAAGCTGGACTACACAATCACCTACTTGTTGCAGCTTTTCAGATTAAACTATCACAGCAGAGGTTATTTTTTGAACTTGGCATGATTTTGGTGAGTACCCATTTCTTTCCCTTTTTTTCTGTTGCTGGGGACCATATCCAGGGGCTCATTCATGTTAGGCATCCCCAGCCACACAGATAATTTTAATAGGGACTAGAGTAGTAAGTTGGCCTCTTCTTACTATGGTTTTGAACAGCCTTGATTTGAACCCAGAAAAGGTCATAGCTTGATAAAACTGGAAAGGTGGAATGGCATTACAGGAATATGTCCCCAGAAATTCAGAAGGATGTAAAGAACTTTTTAATTCTGAGATAATTTCAGAAAACTCTGATAATTATTAGCTTAGAGAGTGAACCCAGATAAAAGAAAGGAAGGTTTTTTTATTCTACTTATCAAAGTCTGTGGTGTCTTAAAATTTCCTTAAAGCCAGGTGTGGTCACACATGGCTATAACCCAGCACTTGGGAGGCAGAGGCAGGAGGATCGCCTCGTGTTCAAGACCAGCTTGGATTACACAGTGAGCTCAAGGCCAGCTGAACTACATAATGAGACCCTGTCTAAAAAACCCAAACAACAACAACAAAACCTTCCTTAAGAATTAGCCACTACAAAAAAAAATTAGTACATATTTAATTAAAAAAGTGTCTCAAGTGGGTTATGATAGCAAAAGTCTAGATAAGCCAAACTCACTGAATAGTATGCTTAAGTAAAATGGGCGAATAGATGTTCAAGTATATAACAAGCTAAATGTATATTAAAAAATCCTCACCAAGTATTCAGGTCTCTTGGGCTTTAATGTTAGTACAGATATTCTATTTAGTTAAAAAATACATATATTTTTAGTTAAAATATTTTAAATTACAAATAAAAATTGTTTCCCAATTAAAACACTTTTGCAGCCAAAAGACAGTTAAAGTGAAGTAGCAGCAGAAGCATTTTACTCACCACTGGATCAAGGCAGCCAAATATGGCACCAAAAATAAGCATCTTGCCAATTTTGACATTCACAGGCAAAGCTGCAAGGTGTTGGCCCAGTGGAGTCAGCTTAGGCTCATTTAGTTCACAAGCTCCAATTTTTCGGAGTAAGTTCATTGCATTGCTGATTACTTGAAGCTGAGGAGGATCTAAGGCTTTGGAGAGGAAATCTTCAGGGGAACCAAGATTACATTTCTACATGTTGAAAAAGAATGTTAAAATTGGTATGTGATCAGAACAAAGTAACACCACCTAAAAAGATAGTATTAGAACTAATTTTTGAGTTCAGAAAGATCTTCAGCCAAGAGTAAATGTGTAAGGCTATCCTATTATAGCGGGGCGAGGGAAGAGTGTGTATGCTTGGGGACAGAGGTGGGCACGACAATGAGATCTTCCGGTCCATACTTGTAAGTTTCTTCACTACCGATTTTTATACAGTCAAACATCTAAGAACAGAAGAATGTTATAAAATCTTTCAGCTTAGGAACTCTATGGACAACATCAGTTGCTCAGTCTCAGCACTGCTCGTATCTTGGGCTGGACAGTTCTTTGTTTGGGGAGGGTACTGTCAGACGGCCAGCAGCATCCTCACCTCTACACACTACCACTGGTAGCATGTAGTCCTTGCCCAATTATAACAAACAGGCATTATAATGTCTCCAGATCAGGCCACATATCTCCTGATAGGCAATACTACATCTAGTTGAGAACTACTGGTCTAGCTTATGAGGCTGCATTTTAATCTGTAAAATATGGAAGTTTATGGCAAAATCAAAGCACAGTAGATGTACTTATAAAATGATGGGAGGGGTATATTTTAAAGAACAGTTAAATATTTAAAAATCTCCATCAACATTAAGTACAGATTAAGTTTGTCTTTTTTTCCCCTTTCTAAAAAAAGAAATAGGAACAAAACAGTCATAGTTCCTTTAAGACTACCATAATATGAAGACATAATTCCTCCAGAGGTACACGTAAAATTTCAGGAACAGAATAGTCCATAAAACTTTCAAATCTGAAAAAGAAGATAATACCTTATTAGGGATGCCACCTATTACTGCTCTGAGCTTTATAAATTTCTAGTGCTTTGCCATACCTTTCTCTTGTGTACAATCGGAAACAGAAGCCATCTCTGACCCGCCCAGCTCTCCCCTGGCGTTGCAGAGCACTGGCTTTACTGATAAAGGTCTCAACCAAAGAACTCATCTGACTGCTTTCATGGTACCTGAAGAAATATTTTAGGAAAGAGTATGTAGATGATTGATTTACACCAAAATTGCAAAAAAGCTGGAAATATCTAACTCTTAAAAATTAAATTGAACTAGCCAGGTATGGTGACACACACCTGTAATCCCAGCACGTGGGAGGCTGAGGCAGAAGGATTACTGTGAGTTTGAAGCCAGCTTGGGCTACATAGTGAGTTCAAGGCCAGACTGCACTACCCTGAGACCTTGCCTCACAAAAAGCCCTCCCCCAAAAGAAAAATTAAGTTAAACTTAGGCTAAAGAGTCCATTACTATTGAGGACAAACATTTCCCAAATCATATTTCTTATTTAAGTAAGTTAGCAAAAGCCCATACTAAATTTCATACTACCAAATTAAAAGCTTTGACACAAGGAAAAAAATATCTTGTTTAACTTACAAGAATCTGACCAAGGAATATTCAATATACCTTTTATAAGATACAAATAAATCCTGAAAATGTTTCCTCTAAAAGTACAATCAATAATTCACCTTCACTTGGATAGTAATATTCTTTTTGAGATATTGGTGTATTTACATTATATTGAGGATAATCTACATATATTTTTATTTTTTATTTTTGGTACACAGATTTTTAAAAAATGCTACAGGTGGCCTTTATTTATTTCACATAAAATAAAGTAGTAATCTTTTTGTTGGAGGTTCAGTTAAGATTATTTGTTATGTTCTAGTTATTGTATTAGGTACTTTCAACTAGGAAAATTTCATTTTCTCCATTTACATAGGAGGAACCAAATGATTATGTTATATTTTACTCAAGATTAAAGATCAGAGATTTAAATCTAGCTCTGACCCCATAACTTATGCTCTTTTATTATAAGCCCATAAATAATGCTTCCATTAAGCAATTTATTTTACAAACACAAAAAACCCTAAAGATTTATGCACTTTTCTAAAAGTTATAGTACACTGGAATTTTTTACGGTAACACCCACGATATGAAATTCTGATATTTTTGTAGGACATTCTAGGCTTTCCTATTGTTTTTCTAAGGCTTTTTGTTTTGGGAAAAATTAAGACATTTGGGATTTTCCCCTATATGATTCTGTAATTTCTCCTAAGATTTCAAGAGCCCCAAACTTCCCAGGAGAAAAATGTTTTGATTTAATAAATTAAAACTTACTTATTCTCTTTTGTTCTTCCAGTGTCAATTACAAACACAACATCTGGAATAGTGATACCCGTCTCCGCAATATTTGTTGCTAAAACAATCTGAAAAAAAACCAAAATGCTAAAACATTTATACAACGCTCAGCAATATACTATCACTTACATTTCTTTAAGTATTTTGAGCTGATGAATTTTTAAGTCAATTTTAATTTCATTCACAAAATTTACACAATTGTGATTGTGTAATTTTAATTTGCTCTAATTAGTTTCAACCTGTTAAACAGAATGAAGTTACAGGTTTTTATTACAACAAAACATATTGTAGTTTTTACAATTCCACTAATTGTAGTCAGTCATTCTAAAAATTCTAGAAGTAGAATGGGAAACTTTGAGAATAGAAGACAGCTCAGCAAAACTCTTCATAAGTTAAAAAAAAAAAAAATATATATATATAATGTAACTGGGAACTAGTTATAAATAATATAATATAAATAGTTATAAATAATATAACTGGGAACTAGGTTTCTGTCTTGGCTCTGTCACTTTACCACTGGGCCTCAATTACTTCAGTTATAAATCAGGAGGTAGAAATACATGATTTCTTAGATGTATCTAGCTCTAAAATTCTTAACGGTGATGATTGACAGTGCAACCTACTGCACTTTTTAATTATTGAATCCCTGGAGATAGACATTTAGGAAGTCCTCGGTCAAGTCCAGTAAACATTGCTGTATTTCAGTACTGCATAATACCTTTTCCTGTTATTCATTTATTCTAGGAAATGGAATGTAGATTACTGAGAGCTAGATGAGACCGATGTGATAATTCCACTTCAGTAGTGTTCAAATTTTTTTTTTTTTTTTCATTAAAAAGAACTCCTTTCTTAACAAACAAAAAATAAAACAAAAACCCTGACAAGGAAGCACAAACGTTACCAAGGCACAGTGTCAGGACCCCTGGAGTACACAAAGACCAGTTAGAAAAGCGTAAGTTTAATTCAACCGTGACTTAGCAGGACAGAAGAGAGGCTGAGCAGCTGGCAACAGTTTTTTTTTTTTTTTTTTTTTTTTCTCCGGTACCGGGAACCGAACTCACGACCTTGCACTTGCCAGGCAGGCGCTTTTTGCCGCTGAGCTAAATCCCCAGCCCCTGGCAACAGTTATGGATGGTGGCAGTTCAGGGACTAGAACCCAGTCTTCCTGCATCACAGTAAGGGATTTTTCTGATGGCTCCAAGTTCCCACACTCCCCTCACTGTGCTTTTTCCTTTTTCTGAGAGAGGGTTCAATATCTCAGAAACTTATTGCGAAGCATCTCTTCATTCACAATTCTGAACAGAGAACACAATTAAAATACTCCTAGTCCCATAACCCAATGGTCTATGTACTGTAGAAACCATTGAAAGTCTAATCCTTTGAATAGCACGTAATATAAATATAGACATGCTTGAATTTTATTATGTTAAGCTGCACAGCACTTGCAGTCTGTCATGCTTCATAAAGCACTTATTTCATGGAAGTTCTATATTGAATTTTACCTTCCTGACTCCTGGAGGAGGAGGTGTGAAGGCTGCAGCTTGATCTTGAGTTGAAAGAATAGAATGCAGAGCTATCACCTTATATCTGAAAGTTAAAATCATAGTTCTTAGCAAGAGTTTCTCTTTAGAAGACACTGCAAAGAATAACAAAATTAATTTGCACATAGGAAGCAACTTTATAGTTTTTATTATGAAATATTTAAAAACAGAAATTCACAGAATAGTCTAGCAAAAAACCCATATACACCAAACATGGAGAAAAAAATTAATATGAACACTAATCTATAACACTATAGATCGAATGTCCCATTTCTGAAAAGCTTGCAGAAGTGTTTCTGATTTTGGAGCATACTGAATTTTGACTTTTATTAGGAATACTCAACCAGTATATGAAACCTAGGGTTAAAATTTTTTTTAAAATATTCAGATGTTAGTGGGACAACCATGACAGCATTAATAAACTGTATTAGAACAGTTATTTTATTTTATTTTTCTGTCTTTTCGAGACAGGGTCTCCCTATGCAGTTCAGGCTGGCCTTGAGCTCACTTTGTACCTCAGGCTGGTCTCGAACTTGCAACGATTCTCCTGCTCAGCCTCCCAAGTGCTGGGATTACAGGCATGCGCCACCACGCCCAGCTCAGAACAGTTAAAGTGCTGATTTAACATGTATGGATGATAACCTGTGGCCTTGTTGGGGTTTTGCATGATGCACTGTTTAGGAGGAAGAAGCCACCATTTTATGCTTAGCCACAAGATTTTCACTGCTCTACCCCTTTTTATTTTATTCCTGCTTTGAGACACAGCCTCACTAGATTGCCCAGGCAGAACTTGAACTTGCAATCCTCCAGTGTCTCTAAATGCTGGATTTAATAGGTGTCAGCACCATGGCAAGCTCTGCTTAATCAAATTAAGAGAACAGAACACGTAGATATAGTACCTAAAAAATATTCACAAATGTTAGAAAAACAAAAAAACCTCTCTATACCATAGAAAATTTTAACTAAAGGTGAAAAGACTTTGAAAACAGTGAACAAGAGTTTTAGTATATTAAATGTTTTCTATTTTAAAATTATCAGGAATATCTTGAAGATCTATAGTTACCGTTCAGAATAAAATCTTCTATCATTTGACAGGAGATCATATAACTGTTGAATATGAGCAAGGCCTGGTAAAAAGATCAGTACAGCTCCTTCAATATTTCTGAATTGAGAACTTTTGTCTAAAATTGAAAAAAAGATACAATACTCAACATAAGAAACAGCATACGAAATATTAATAAAAACACCATCAGTTACTAGAAACGTCTTATCAATTAGACACATTTTAGAAACACAAATTACCTAAATATACAAGAAGTTCCAAAATGAGATCCAGGTTGATTTTATGAGGATTCATGTAGAGAATAGCATGCTGAGTGCGGTTGGTATACTTTTGGTAAAATGGATTTAAACTAGCACTTGCTCCAGTCTGAACTGGCACGTATTCCTAAAAGAAACCAAACCAGGGAAAGGTAAAAAAAAAGAACAGAGAGCATTAAGAACTTTTAGAAAAAGAAAGTATCCACAAGCATTCAGATCTGTGTTTTTTGCACTGTTACTATTATTTTATTAAAATATGCAAGAGTACAATTTTGAAAGTAGAAAAAGTATCAAAATTTCAAATATGTCTATAATTTTATCTAGCTCTTATAAACAGGAAGACCTATTATCCTGGCAATGTTAACATTAAAAGAAAAACAGTAGAAAAGTATGGTGATCGTGTATGATTACTCTTTGGCAATTAAAAAGCAGCCAGCACAAGACAGGGCACAGCTTTAATAAGATAGTGTACACTTGCCTCATTCCTTCTATAGTCTATTCTGGCTACTAAGTTCCAATGATCTCTTTTGAAATGTGCACACACACTCACCCAGACATTTTTCTTTGGTTTGTGAGATTTTAGTCCTCAATATCTCGGTTTATCTGGTTAGTTAAATGATAAAGTAATCTTAACCTAGTGTTTCCATCAGTTTGGGTACAGGCATGAAATACAAATGAAGTATCATAGATGTAATGGAGATGATAGATTTAGTACTGCTGGCAAAAAGTGGGATAACAGAGCTTTTTCAACATTTCTAAAAACAAGTAATTGAGATTAACTCTCTAGGAAGAGCTGTTCTCCTAAATAGCTTCACTATAGAGTGAGGGTTGACTTCTGCCAGGACAGAGGCTGGTAAGAAAACCAATGACCAAGATCCAGATCTTAAGAAACCTGGTGTGGTGGCACATGCCTGTAATCTCAGCACTTGAGAGGCTGTGGCAGGAGAGTTGCCAAGTTTGAGGCTAACCTGGACTACATAGTGAGTTCAAGGCCAGCCTGAACTACATAGTGAGACCCTGACTCAAAAGAAAAAAAAAAGTTCTAGACATGGGCCTGCACCCTCTTGACCACTTATGGTGATGACACAACAGAAAACACTACAGGTTTACTCCTCAATAAATGATATTGCTATGGAACTACTACAAACATTACTTCTTATTTATATGGCACTTGATTTTTACATGTGTATCTAAATGGTCCAGAATACATAAGACGACGTTAAAAATATCCACAAATGAGGACTACAATCTATGAAACAAAGATTAAAGAAATGGCCTCTTAAATTTGCTCATATGCATATCTGTTTCATCTTCTACCAAATTATACTCAAATCCACTGTTAGCCATATAATTTTTTTTTTTTTTTTTTTTTTTTTGTTTTTCTCCGGTACCGGGAACTGAACTCACGACCTTGCGCTTGCCAGGCAGGCGCTTTTTGCCGCTGAGCTAAATCCCCAGCCCCCAGCCATATAATTTTTTTAAACCTATATGATTTTAAAACTCTTCTGAAACCTGTGAACAAATGGACTTAGTAGATGTCTACAAAGTGTTTCGCCCCCACACCATCAGAATATACATTTTTCTCAGCTACACATGGGACATTCTTCAAAACAGACCACATACTAGCCCATAGAACATGCTTAAGTAAACGCAAAGGAACTGAAATTATCCCATGCATATTATCTGACCATAGTGCAATGAAATGGGAAATTAATGGCAAAAGAAACCACAAAAACTACGTAAACACCTGGAAATTAAATAACTCTCTCCTAAACAATCAATGGGTCAAAGGTGAAATTAAAGAAAAAATTAAATGGTATCTATAATTAAATGATAATGCCAATACAACATACCGGAACTTATGGGATACAATGAAAGCAGAAATAAGAGGGAAATTTATAGCAGTAAATTCTATCAGGAAAACAGGACAACCTCAAATGAACACACTAATATTGAACCTCATACATCCACTAAGAGAACAAATCAAACCCAAAGCTCGTACAAGGGAGTAGATTATAAAGATAAGAGCAGAAATTAATGCAATCAAGACTACGAAAACCAGGGGCTGGGGATTTAGCTCAGCGGCACAGCGCCTGCCTAGCAAGCGCGAGGTCGTGAGTTCAATTCCTGGTACCGGAAAAAAAACAAACCGGGAAAAAAAAAAAAAAAGACTACGAAAACCATACAAAGAATCAATGAATCCAAGTGTTGGTTCTTTGAAAGATCAAATAAAATTGATAAACCCTTTGCTGACTTTATAAAAAAGAGGATAGAAAAGACTCAAATTCATGGGATTAATAATGGGTGAAATCACAACAGACCCTATGGAAATCCAGAAGATCATTAATACTTACTTTGAGAACCTGTACTCTAATAAGATGGAAAACACAGAAGAAATGGACAGATTCCTAGAGGAATTGCCAAAACTGAATCAAAAACATATAAAAATTCTCAATAAGCCAGTATCAGCCAATGAAACTGAAAATATAATAAAAAACTTACCAACAAACAAAAGCCCAGGTCCTGATGGATTCACTGCTGAATTCTACAAGACATTTAGAGAAGATCTAATGCTACTAATGAGGAAACTCTTTAATGAAATTGATCTCAAAGTCATTCCTGGAAGCAAGTATTATCCTTTTATCAAAACCAGAAGACTCAACCAAAAAAGAGAACTACAGGCCAATCTCCCTAATAAACACAGATGTAAAAATCCTCAATAAGATATTGGCAAACAGGATGCAGAAAATCATCAAGAAGATTATTCATCATGACCAAGTAAGATTCATCCCAGGGATGTAGGGATGGTTCAACATAGGCAAATCAATAAATGTAATACACCATATGAACCGAGCCAAGGACAAAAATTATCTGATCATCTCAATAGATGCAGAAAAGCTTCTGACAAAGTCCAGCACCCATTCATGGTAAAAACCATATAGAACATTGGAATGGATGGTCTTTATTTCAACCTGATAAAGGCCATCTATGACAAACCAACAGCCAACATCATAGTACTCAGAATCTTTTTTTTTTTTTTTTTTTGGTTTTTCTCCGGTACCGGGAACCGAACTCACGACCGTGCACTTGCCAGGCAGGCGCTTTTGCCGCTGAGCTAAATCCCCAGCCCCCCCAACATCATAGTAAATGGCCCCAAACCAAAAGCTTTCGTTTTAAAAATCAGGAACAAGACAAGGACGTCCACTATCACCACTCCTATTTAATATAGTTCTGGAAACATTAGCCAGAGCAATTAGACCAAAGGGAAAAAAAAAAAAAGAATAAGGATAGGAAGGGAAGAGGTTGAATTATTATTTGCAGAAGACATGATACTCTACGTAGAAGACCCCAAAAACTCCACCAAAAGATTTCTAGATTTAATAACCAAATTCAGTATGTAGATGGATAAAGTCAACACCCCAAAATCAATAGCACTCTATATACTAACAACAAATGCACTGCGAAGAAATTAGGGAAAGAACACCTTTCCCAATAGTACCTAAAAAAATGAAATACACTTAAAGCCAATCTAACGAAGCAAAAGATCGCTACATTGAAAATTATAGTATTTTGTAATATTAATATTTGATTAAACAAAGAGTCATAGTTTTAATCTTTTGAAAGCACCTAGACTACAGAGTTTTTGTGACAGATTAAGAATACTATGACCATTCAAGAGAAGCAAATTAAAACAACACTGTGATTCTATCTCACTCCAGAAATAATGGCTATCATCAAGAGGCCAAACAATAACAAATGCTGGAGGGGATAAGGGGAAAAAGGAACCCTTCTCCACTGCTGGTGGGAGTGTAGACTAGTGCAACTATTATGGAAATCAGTATGGAGATCCCTCAAAAAACTAGGACTGGAGATCCCTTTTGACTCAGCTATTGCCCTTTTGGGTATCTTCCCAGAAAAATTAGAAACATCACACCACAGTGATATATGCACACCCATGTTTATAGCAGCACACTTTGTAATACCTAAATCTTGTAAACAACCCAAATGCCCATCAACCGAGGAATGGATAAAAAAGTGTGGTTTTTTTTTTAATACAATGGAATACTACTCAGCCGTAAAGAAGGATAAACTTGAGATATTTCTAGGAAAATGGATGCACCTTGAGACCATACTTTTAAGTAAAATAAATTGGTCCCACATGTATAAATATCATATTGTTTCTCTGGTGTGAGAAACCAAAAGCATAAATAAGGATCAGAGAGTATAAAAGATATTGTGAAATAGGAAGAAACTGTTCAGGAGAAAGGGGAACTAGGGAGGGAAGAGGGGGAAAAGGATAAAATGGAAACAAAGCTTTTTTAAATGGGGAGTGGAAGAGGGGCTGAAGAGAGGGGAGGAAGTTGGGAAAAAAAAGAGGAACTAAGATATATCATGTACAGGTGTGATCATTATGTATATCTCAATTGTACAAATAAACTTGATAAGAATAAAAAAACCTCTTGTGGTAGGTTATACCCTAGATAACATTCATACTATTTTCTTTTTTACCTTATACTTTATTCCTCCAGCTTTGCTTGTAACATTAATGGTTATTTCTTCTTCCTCCTCCAGAAATTTTTGACAATATTCTGAGTCTTTCTCAAGGACAAATCCTGTTTCTTCTATTATATCTTCAAGATGAAAAACCTACATAGAGTGAGGCACACAAACAGATAAACCCAAATTCATGTCAGTAAATCTTACTTTAAAGAGAACATGGAATTAATGCTTTTTGAATGATACCAAACTAATTTAGAAGATTATGAGAAAACCATTTTAGTATTTTTTGGAAGTGAACTTGGTTGACATAGACGGGTCTGCTGCTAAAACCTCAGGAGAAATTACATTATGGTCTTTTTTTAAAAATTTAGAAGAGTGGAATGAACAAAAAAAGCATTAAAAATAGAAACAAAGCTTTGAAGACTGCCCTGTATTTGAGGATGGGTGAAAAAGGATGCCTTACTGCCAGGGAGCCACTCTTAATCTGGATAGAGTGATTCTGATGTGAACATGTTTTATGTCCTGTACACTCAGGTCTGTTGTCAGAACTTTCCACCCTATCAACCCTTAGGCAAGGTAGCACCGGCATGTGATTCTCATGGCCATCTCCAGGGCCTCTCTTGACTTACAGCTCTAGGCTCAGAGTATAAGAACCCATTTTCGGGGCTGGGGATTTAGCTCAGCGGCAAAAGCGCCTGCCTGGCAAGCGCAAGGTCATGAGTTCGGTTCCTGGTACCGGAGAAAAACCAAAAAAAAAAAAAGAACCCATTTTCTAGGGAAACTGGTGTGAATGTAGCTTCTTACGCATATGCTCTAACAACTTACCTCAACAGGATAACTCCTTCCTGAAATTCTGAGAATAGGACAATGTGTGAAATATGTAGAAAACTTTTCACTGTCCACAGTAGCACTCATTAGAATCAAGTGTAGATCTGAACGTTTTTGTAAAATTTCCTTCAAGATACTTAGTAGGAAATCTGACTGGACACTTCTTTCATGAACCTAATGCAAAGGTAATACAAAAATTAATCATATATATATAAGATCCAGTAAGAGGATTAAATAATTCGACACCCAAATCTACTAAAAGTTCATCAATATTTAAGTACATAGTCAGTACATGTGGAGGGAGGGATCTGCATGTCTCAAGTAAAGCAGAGCCTCAGTATTAAGGATAAAGTTATTCTTTAAAATTGAAGCCAGTGAAAATCACCATATAATAAATACCATTACCAACAATAATAGAACTTTAACTTAAGAGATGGTTTAAAATCAGACCAGATGTGGCTGATAAGATTCGGTTATTTCTCAAGTTTCACTAATCCCTGCCACTAATACAAAACTATTGTTACCTCTATATAAGACAGACAATTTATCCACTATAATAAGACAAAAGGGAGATTAGTAGAATCTGTTAGGGTAACTATCACTCTCCAAAGTGGGTAGGGAGGAGGTTTTATACCCTTCCAAAGTATGTATTTCGGGAAAGCGTACTGTCAACCTGCTAGAGACCACAGACAAGGCACACTGTCAGAACTTAAATACCTGCTGAATGTATGAGTCTATCTTCTAATCTTCTGTACTGTGACTTATTTCTATCCCTTTTTATTTTGTAACAGATTGAAGGCAGCATACAAAGGTAAAGTACATCAATATAACACAGTAGGTTTAATCATTCACCTGCTGGAAAGTGTTCAGGACCTGGAAATGATTACTTGAGTTCAATTCTTAGCTTGGCCACTTACGAGTATATTTTTGGCAAAGTTATTTAAATATCTCTAGATCAATTTCCTTTTCTATAAAAGGAAAATACAAATAAAAACTTCACAGAATTGTTGTAACAATCAAATGAGATAATGCAAAGCTCTCAGACAGAGTGCACAAAAGTATAAGTACTTAGAATTGTGTTAGCTGCTGAGGATTTAAAGTTACCAAGGACAGTTCTCTTCATTTGAGAGCTGTCAGTCCAGTAGAGGATACTGTACATTACTTGTACACTGTATATTGTAAACTGTACATTACTTGTACAGTGGAAATTGTAAATTACTTATGATGAGCAGCTGATTCAGGTGATCAGAATGTTCAATTGAGAGAAACGGCCAATGATCCTGAGAAAGGAAAGATGAATTTGAAAAAGAAGAGAAAAATGATACGTAATGAGAAAGGGAGGAAAAAGTGTTTAGGTCAAGGGACACACGTGTGTATAAAATCATGGTGGATGTGTGAACCTCTGGGTTATCCCCATCACCCCTAAAAACCAACCAAACAAAAAATAATCACAGTACAAAGGGGCATCATAATGTACTGGGGAATTTGAAAACAAACAATGATTTGAGCATAGGATGAGAGATATACAAAAGATTAAAGGTGGAGAGATATTTAATAAGCCTTTGTAAACCATGTTAAGGAGCTGAGACTTTACCTACTGAACCAAGGAGTCAGTAGGACAGATTAAAGCACTTTAAAGTAGGAAAGAAAACAGCATGGCCTGAGTTTTATTTTAGAAACAATACTCTGGCTATAATGTGGAGAATTTAATTCATGAGAGGCTATGAATGTTTGATGTTTTTGCTTTGGTGATTTGACTAGGTGGCTGTGGGGATCATTCACTGAGATTCAGAAGCGAGAAGGAATGAGCAGAGAGGGGAAATACTGTTTCCCTGGTGGCACAGCCCTTTAATCCCAGTGCTCAGGAGGCTGAGGAAGGACTGCCAGGAGTTTGAGGCCAACCTGTGCTACATAGTGAGTTCAAGGCCAGCCTGAAATATTGTACCAAAAAATAAGTACAAATAAAAATAAAAAATAATTCATGAGAGACTTTTATAGTAATTAAGGAGATACTGGTAGATTAACCAACTGTCTATCAGATACCGTTAGTCTCAGGAACTACAAATTCATCATCTTAAAAACAATTATTTCCCCTCACTGCTCATTCCTTCTCCTTGCTTCTGAATCTCGGTGGATGACCCTCACAACCACCTACTCAAACCACCGAAGTAAAAACATCAAACATTTCTTGTTTTTTTCTTCCACATCCCCTAAATCTGGTCACCTAGTCATGTTTATTTTGCCTTTCTCAAACTCATTCTTTTTTGTCCAAATGCACTCTGGTGGTTTTACCAGGTGATCATGGGTGTCATTCACTGAGATTAAGAAGGAGGAAGACATGCAAGTTATAAGGACACAGCAGGGAGGAGAGATGTTAAATTTTGGAAATGCTCAAGTTTCTAAAGCTGTAAGCATCCAGTAGGCAGTTGGATATTTATGTCTGAAGGCCAGGAAAGAGAGCTGATAGATGATACAGACTTAGAAAACTTCAGCAAATAGATGGTTACCTTATACAGATAAGGATTAAAAAGAAAAAGTACAGCAAAGAGTTAATAAAAATGTATACTATTAAATTTACTTGGTCTGTGTCGTCAAAAAATTTAGCTGTAATCTGGGCGTGGTGGTACACTCCCACAATCCCAGGGCTTAGGGGCCTGAGGCAAGAGGATCCATGTGAGTTTGAGCCAGCCAGAGCTACATAATGAGTTTGTGGCCAGTCTAAACTTCATAAGGAAACTCTGCCTCAAAAACGAAAACAAAACAAAAACCAAAAAACTCCCCACAAACCCAAAAAGCAACAACCAAAAACAACCCCTAAAATGAAACAAAAAATTTAGCTGTAAACATACCAGAGGCCAGCAAGAAAAGCTGTTTAATTTATTTGTTGATTATAAGCTAAAACAAATCGCAGAATTCCTAATAGTAAGGCCAGGAGTACTATCCTGCACATCTTCATGAAAGAATTCTACATGGTACACTGAACAACAATGTCCCAACATCTCTTCTGTCCTTAAATCTAAAATGATGAATTTTACCTGGCTACTTTTACTCTTACTGTACTATACTAAGAGGATGATGGTATCACCCTGAAGTTAGTAATGTCTATAGATAGCTAATACCAAACTATAAAAGAACAAAGCTTCAGGAAGTTTGGTCAGTTGGTCAGATTTTTAAATTGGCGTTAGCCCTCATCTATATTTCCTGCTAATAATTTGGGGTTCTAAGAGAACTATGACAGACTAGCTGATATAAATATTTCAACTTGCCTAGCAGTAAAAATTTCTCATTAGAAACACAGTTAATACTTTGGCTCATGTTGACCCTTGACATCACTGGTAAAATTTAGGTCTGGGCCATGCAAAGCTACAACTGTGACACTTCCTCTGCTCTGTATCTGCCATGGCTTGTGTCTAGATGTCCCCTAAAGCCTCATGTGGTCACAGGTGGGGCTTTTACACAGATGGCTAGATCTAGAATGTGTGACACTGGAATTGATTCATGGTGCAATGCTAGGATCAAGGACACTAGGATTAATGGTGTGAGTGCTACTGGACCAAAGTAGCCTGGATAAGATATAAGGGATAGAAAGAGCTGTGGTTGTCCCCTGCTTGTTACCTATTGCCTGCCATGAACTGTTTCTCCTCTATGATGCCCCTCTGCTATGCCATGCTGCCTTGGAGCCAGCTGATTATGGACTGAAACCTCCAAACTATCAGCCAAAACATGCCTTTCCTCCTTCAAGTTTGGGTGTTGGATATTTTGTCTCAGTGACGAGAAAAGTAACTAAGACCACATCCCATGTGTAACTCTTCCATGGGGTGAATGGGGGCCTGCTACAGCAGCATTCCAGTCTCTTTCTTTTAAAAATATTACTGGTAACTGTACAACTTATTCCCCTATTAAGGAAAAAAGAATCATTACATAAAAATTAGTTCCTATCGTTCATTTATTACCAAAATATTAATTATTTAATAATAAATTGCCCAACCTTGTCCCACGGCAAGAAAATGGTTCAATAAATCATGGGATGTTCAAAGTATATCTCACATAAAGCTATTTAAAAATCATATTTTTGTAAAGTACCTAATGATGTGAACATTGATGTAAACAGACATGCTAAATACACATAAATGTATGAATTAAATATCAGAATTCTTTCCTGAATTATGACATTATAGACAATATTTATTTTCTATTATATTTCCTAAATAAAAAGAGGAAAATAACCAAATAATCTGTAGTCTATTAATTAAAAATAAAGTAAATAAACTTTTGATTTCTGCTCTCTGAACTTAGTGAATTAACATTCACAAAAAGCTTAGTATCACAGAAATTTTTAATAATTTCTGAATAACAGAAATGCCATGTATTTTTTCTTGAAAAATTATACACATGCAAATTAATGTACAAAACTAGACTAGTATGCCATTTACATTAAGTGTAATATTAAACTAGGCATAATTCAATTTAAGTGTGCTTTCCAATTAGGCTTGGTGTATCAAAAGGTATACCAGACATACTCAGAGGTATAACTGAGAGAAAAATGCCATATTGATACATTTTTGGATCTTGTAAAAGAGTTAAAGCAGATCCTTTACACCTAACTGTAGTAGCTGAGAGGAAGCAGACCAGTAAAAAAGCACAGACTGGTACTAGAATCCCTGGAATTGAACTTTCAGATGCAGAACTTACTGGATATGTGAATTTAGTAAGCTATTTGACTGCTATGTACTTTGATTTCCTCAACTGTAAAATAAAAATAACAGCTACTTCACTGGGTCACTGGAATAATTAAATAAATCTCTGTGTGTATATGCTTGAATAGCTTCAAGTGTGATATCTGGCCTTTAGTAAGCACCAAACAAATGTCAAGTGGTATTAGAAGTTACATCATTTGAATACAACAATGTTTAGAATTTAACTAGATACAACTACAGAATTTACTCACCTCGTCTACAATAACATGAGACACATTACTTAGAAGGCCATCTTCTTGAAGTTTTCTTAGCAAAACCCCTGTTGTACAATAAAGCAACCTGGTAGATTCACTAGCTCGAGATTCCATCCGGATCTGATATCCACATAAAGAATTCTGAAGGAAGAACACAAAGCCATGGGTAGAGTCTCACAAGTAATCTAGGAAATAAGCTGAAAAAGTGAAGCACAGGTGCTGATCTTGTTACTAGATGGATCAATCTAAGTAAATCTATTTAGTGCAATTCATTATCATCAAAGGTATTTTTCCATGGTTATCATTTATATAAAACTATAGAATTTGTATTGGTGATTTTAAATAGAAAAGCTTTCACTCTTTTCAAGGCACTGAGGCAAAAGACATTTACTTGGCTTCACATACTATAAATATGAATTTTTAAACATGAATAAATGCTAAATTAATTTTTTACTAAATTATCTTGGAGTGAAACATCAAGGTACTCAAGAAGAGAATTTTATAGCAGCTTCTGTAAGTTGGTCTACTTTTCTACCAAGATCTTATAAAACTTGCTACCACTAAAAGCAGAGTGGACCACAGCAGTGGTGCCTAACGGGAATCTTGAAGTACCATCCATTCCCATCACACTGTCGTTCTTGTCCCTGAAGCCATTCCTTTGTATTGTGCACACGGCTGTTATTCCTTATAGGGCAGAAACTGTCTTTCTGTCCTCTTGTACTTCTGACAGAAAACCAACTTGCCAAATAAAAAAATTTTAATGAAAGAGTACCATTTTACAAAAATATTATATGCTATCTTCAGAAAGCATAAAACTGTAATTCATATTTAATTGTAGCCAATTTAATTAAATGAATTCCTATACATTGCAGTCACTCTGGTTAAGATTTGTCCAGTTTTGTGTACACAAAAATGCAACAAGAGTTGAGTACTTTTTCCATTTTTTTAAAATACAGGGCTTGAAAAATTGTCTAGTATATTAAGCTTTATTGTTTTCCTATTCTACTCAATGAAAAGAATTAACAAAGATCATTTGGGAATTCATTCCACAGAAAAGATATGCAAAATCATGAGCTATAGCATATTAGAGTAAAATCTGAATTTGTCCACATTCTTTGAATGTTAATTTAAGGGACAGTATATTTGAACGTTTAATTATAAAATTAATAGTTTTCTTTTATATGAGATACTAATGACAGAATTAGTGATAAACTTTTTCATATAAAGTGGCGTAATGTACATCAAAGAAAACATGAAAAATGCTTGAACTATGTTTATGAACAACTAGAACTTGTATACGGTAGAGGTACCACTTGGATCCCAAGAGCACAGGTGAGTAATGTCACCATTCAACAAGGAATTGAATGAGGTCTTACCCTTCCTCCAGGGCCACTTTCACAGCCCAATTCATCACACACTCTGGTGGCTAAACTCACTGCTGAGATCCTTCGAGGCTGGGTACAGACAATGTTACATTTACTCGTTCCCCACTCATTCAGAAGCAAATCTTCTAACAGGAAATGTGGTACTTGAGTACTTTTACCACTCCCTGTTTCACCTGCCACAACTACTACCCGGTGCCTTTTAAGAGTTTCCACAATGGAATCCCTGTGTTTGAACACAGGTAACTGTTGTCTTTCCTTTAGAAGTCTCTGATACTTAGGGGTACTTTGTAACTTTCTAAAAAGCTTTCTAACAGGTTCCAAATCTTCTGCATTTGCTGATTCCAAGGACAGAGCAGAAAAATCTTCATCAGAAACTAAATTTTCCCAAGATTCCTCAGGATCTTCAGAGTTTTCTTTCTTATTTTCAGTGTGCTGTTGTTGCTGTTGCTGTTTCAACTTATTTAAAAGTCTGGCAATAAAAAGATCACGTGGCTTATTGGTCTCCATCTTATTTAATTCTTCCCTTTTCTTCTCTGCATCACTCCACTCCAGCCAAACATCTCGGTAAGTGGGAGGGAGTAACTGATGAACGGACTACAAAGGAAAAAAATAGCAGCATTTTATTGTCATTGTGGGATATCAAAATTCAACAGATTAGAACTCAGAAGTACAGGGGCTGGGGATTTAGCTCAGCGGCACAGCGCCTGCCTGGCAAGCGCAAGGTCACGAGTTCGACTCCCAGTACCGGAAAACAAACAAACAAAAATAAAAGAACTCAGAAGTACAGTTATAATTCTCTTAAAATATAATCATATAATTTGACTCAAACTAGTAAGTTATTACTTTAATATATACACACATTGACACAAGTTCATAAACAATGCATCATATTCAGTATAAGTCTCTTGATTTACCAGCTATACAACTTTGGGTGAGAAACGTCTCAGTGCCTCAGTTTGTGCATTTAAAAGCAACTAATAATAGTACTTCCCTCACAGACATCATCTCAGGCTACCTTTAAGAGAGTACACGAAGTGCTTATTCATAAAGCATAATATTGTTGAATAAACATTTATTATTTGCTTCTGCAATGGTGCTATATAAAATGTAGATGACCCTTAAAGTACTTTTAAAACATACAAACAACCTTTGAGATTTTTATCTATTATAGGTCAAAATTATTATTATAATTATAGGTCTATTATAGGTCTATTATAGGTCAAAATATTTTAAACACAATAGATAGAAACTAAGTTATTCTAATTTTGCACTATAAAAGAACTCAAGAATCTCTGACATTGATAGTTACTTTTATCAAGTAAATATGGCTTATGATAAATGTTTTTACAAAATGACAGAAATAAAGACCTTAAGAACTTTGATTGACAGAAATTGAAAAAGAACTACTCTTTAGAGTTCCACTAAACTAGTATCTAAATTTATCAATGGTTCTAACTTCTTAAGAAGAAAAATATACACATTTGTTATGAAAAAGAAATGTTGACAATCTAAATTTTAAAAAAGTGCATTATGTTCTGCTAAAGAGCTTTCTCCAGTAGTACTTTAATCTTACCTGAAACTTGGAACCGTACTGAAAATGTAATCTAAAATTGCAAAACAGAACCAATGTCTAGTGTTTTAAAGTTGAAAGAGAATGTAACAGAAAAATAAAATTTCAAAAAATATCTTTAATTCAACCACTTTGCACAAGTATTTTAAATCTGTAAATTAGTATAGCCAAAAGTTGGGTCAATCAAATAGTCTCTCTCAGACCTCCAGCCTAAGACAAGAAAGACTGAATTGCGTTTAAGGGTGAGAGGAAACCAAACAATAATCAGAAATGAGCAAAGAATCAGAAGCAGCAGTCAGTACAGAGAAAACTGGCACAGAGGGCCATAATTAAATAGTACCTTCCACATACACATACATTTGTATGTACAGTTCTAATACAAATTAATTATCACTTATGGAAAATACTTGTGACCAAAAGTGCTTTGGATTTTGGAATACTTGCACTTATGTAATGAGATGTCCTGGAGAAGGGACTTGTGTGTGTCTAACCACAAAAATCCATTTACGTTTCATATACATAGTATCTTATATAGAGAGCCTAAACGTTTTATACAACACTGTAAATAACTTTGCTCATGAAAGTTTCTTGGTGCACTATTTTCCACATGTGGAATCAAGTCAGTTCTAAAAAAAGATTCCCATTTTGCAGCATTTCAGAATTCAGATTTTTGGCTTAGTGATATTCAACCTATACACTCATTTCTTCACAAACATTTTTGAAGCATCTGATCTTAAAAAAATCTCACCTGCCCTTTCACTAAACGATAAAGGGCTAAAGTAGCACCCAAGTGCTGAGCTTGCATGCCATCCTCTGTTAAGATAGTAGGGCACACCACAAGGACATCATCTTCAGACTTGATTACCCTCACCCTACAAAGAAACAAACATTTGTTTTTAAAGTGATGAGGTCAGATCAGTAAAGTCAGATATCCATTAACACTGAACTTAAATTTGTATTATTTAAATATTTCCACTGATGGTATGGTACTCAATAATGATTTAAAAGTGCTATAGTCCTGAAATGTGGAATTAGTATTTCCTAAATGTAGTCATTTGACGTAAAAAAGATTTTCTTATACATTGTTTTCAAAGTTCACTCAGTTAACCAGAACACATACCTACATTTCCAGTATCGACCTACTGGAATTTTTTCAAAGGAAGGATTTGGACTCTTGGGAAGATTCTTCCTGACCCAATCAATCAGAAATTGTTTGGGAGACTTTCCAGTCCAGCTTCGAGCAGTATAGTCAAAATTTCTTACATCATGGGGGTCTTTCTTTTTATCTAAAACAGAAGACAAAGATGGATTCTTTAAAAATGGTCATGTGGAGCTGGCATGTAGCTTAGGGGCAAAGTACTTAACCTAGCATGTGTGAGGACCTGGCTAAAAGTGTGATCTTCCTGCCTCAGCCTTCAAGACTGCTGTGATTATAGCAGTGTGGTACCACATCCAGCTTTCACTTTAGACTTCCAATGTACTATCTCCATTGTTTGGAGGGTCTTTCTACCAACTTGTCACCAGGGCAAGCTTCCCCAATCCAAAATATCTTGATATCTCTATTATTAAAAGCCAATTTTCTTTGATAGGATACATCACAATTTGACATTATATTTTTGTGTATGTTTAAAACACACTTTCCTTTCTTAAGGCTATACACAGCAAGATGGCAGAGACTGGGTTATTTTGTTCATTACTATACACATAGTACCTGTCACTTTGCATGGCAAGGATTCAAGAAATATTACTGAAAGAATAAGTAATTCTTAAAATGGACAATTTGGTATAGGTCTAAACTATAATATAATTTGATAAATGTATTATCTATGCCAATACTTTACTCAAGAGCACAAAGAAATGCATGATCATTTACACCTGATGGCATGGAAGGGAACGACTAGGGAACGACTGAAGAAGGGAATGATTAAAAAAGAGGTGCTAATCTTGTCTAGTGAAGCTCTGTATTGTTTCTAATTTTTTTTTATTCTCATTAATGGTTTGATCAATCTTGTATTCTTACATCTGGTAATCTGAGCAACTCTGTTAAAGATAACAATATGTAAAATAACAACCACTGTTAATTCTTATCTGTTTTTAAATCCTGTATCATTTTTATTGTTTTTGCTTTGTTTGGTTCTTGTCTGTGTTGTTATTTTGTTATTGTTTCTTAATTATTCTCTTTAAAATTAAAAAAAAAAGGAAGAGTTGCTACTTGAGCAACTTGAACCTAGGGACAGGTTGGCCAGTAGGAGGGGGTAGCAGGATGAGCAAAGTAATGGGATGTGAAACAACAAATATTTTGAAGATTGTGGCAGGATGCAAATGATCATGCGTGCCATGATAAAGTTTGGCCTTATTACTGAGGTCAGCAGGTTCAGTCATTAAAAGTTCTTAATAGGGAGGGGTGAGGATATGGCTCAGTGGGAGGGTAGGTACTTGCCTAGCACAAGTAAGGCACTAGGTCTGATATCTTGCATGTTAAAAAAAAAATAACAAAATATTTTTAAACAAAAAATTCACATTTAGATCTATGTTGAAAAAAAACTGCTATGAGTTTGGAGAATGGACTGGAGAGAGATAAGACTGAGGAGACAAGGTATTTGTAATTACAAATTGCTATACAGGTAAGTTACAGTAATTGTTTTTACTTTTTAATTCATTGTGGGTTTTTTTTTTCTCTTTTTTGAGACAACGTCTTGCAGTGTAGTACAGGCTGGCTTTGAACTCAGTATGTAGCCCAGGCTGGCCTCAAGCTCACAGCAATCCTCCTGCCTCAGCCTCCCAAGTGCTAAGTTTACAGGTGTGTGCCACCATGCCTGGCTTACTTTTTTTAAAAGTTAATTAATTTATTGGTACAATTTAGGTGTACATAATGACCATATTCACTATAGGGAACTGGCTTGCTTTTTAAACAAAGCTTATGAAAGTGTAATTACGCTACCCTCTTAAGTAGTTTACCAAAATGCAAAGTAATGAGCTTTGTAATAATGTATTACTTGACATTTAATCATAAATTACAACCCAACCACTTGCCCTCATTTAACCTTTCTCTTCATCAGCAGCAGCTGTAGACTTTGCAAATAAATTAAAGTTCAAAGTATTTTCCCCTTCTGTGGCTACAGGAGGCTTCTTTCTTTCATTTTGTTGATGTGATATCTTTATGGCTGGATTAAATACTGGATGATCTTCTAAAGTTTCCATTTCTACCAAGAAAAAAAAGATGTTAATTTCATGACTTTTTCTTTTTTTGTTTTATGTGTGGTACTGGGGATTGAACCTAGGGCCTTTTGCACTAAGCTACATCCTTACTTCTTTATCTGAAAAAGAGTCTAAGTTGTCCAGGCTGGCTCAAATTTGCAATCCTCCTGCCTCAGTCTCCCACAGTGCCAGGATTAGAGGCATGTGCCATCACACCTGGCTATGTATTTCTTTTCAGTGCCTTATTTTTCTTGGTAAAAGTAGTTTCAAAAACATCATTTCTTCTTTCTCCTTGTAGCCAACAACTTAATAATTCCTATAAGGAATCTATGCTAAGTCACAAGCAATTTACTAGCTTTTACAATGTATATTAAAACTTTAAAAATCAAGTATTTAATAAAAAAATCTGCATTCGAAATACTCGAGATTATATTCATGTCTCTTTCTTGAATAGGGCAGTATTTTATGATATAAATCTGGAGTTGGAAAACTTGCATGCAGGCCAAATTCATTCCACTGCCTTTTTAATGTATGGTTTGTAAATCAGAATATTTTCCATCATTTTCAAGTGGCTGAAAAAATAAAAAGTGTTTGGTGACATGGGACAATTATATGAAATTTACAGTTCACTGTCCATAGAGTTTGTTTAGGACATAGCCATTCATTTCTGTACTGTCTATGGTTGCTTTTGTTTGTAACACCAGAGTTAAGGAATTGTGTGTGTGGCCCACAGAGTATACAATATCATCAGGTTGTTACAGAACAAGTTTGCCAAAACCCAGATATAAACTGTTAGGAGAAAGAACAGCCGAGTTTTAAAAACACAGTAACATTTCTGTATCTCAGAATCGGAAAATATTTACCTCTTTGAAATTTCCTTATTTTTTCTTGAGTCTCTTTCTGGCCCTGCTTATTTTTTTCTAGTTTAAAGGTAGCTGCTTGTTCCTTTGCATCCAGAAGCTTTGCTGCAAGCTGTAAGTACCTTTCATTCTGTTACAAATGAGGAGGAAATAAAAAGAACAAGATTACTTTATCTGTAGACAACATGCTGTATCAAAACTTATGGCCTAGATGAGCACAGTGGTGCTTGCCTATAATCCCAGATACTTGGGAGGTTGAGGTGGGAGGACTGTGAGTTTGAGATCAGCCTGGGCAACTTAATGAGGCCCGCAACTCAAAGAAACAAAACAAAACAAAACTCCAATGATCTAACTTTGCTCTTTGTTCTAGCAAATCTACTTTTAAGAACTTCTCTATAGAAATAAAACAATGGGAAAATAGGACAAAAAAAGAAAAAAAATAAAGCTTCTGAGGAAAAAGGGTATCACAAACTCAACGTGATTCTGCTGAGCAAAACCTAGAAAGAATTGAAAGTTAAACTCAAATTACTATTTCCTTAGGTTAATAAATGACAGTAGATTATAAACATAAAGACGTGTGGCACATGCAGTGAGGCTTTGAAATACAACTGTTAAAAAGAAGCGGGGAAAAGGCAACTACACAAGTACACGTAGCTGAATTGTAGGACCACTCTGCGTTGGAGCAAACGTCAAAGCTGTGTGACAGGCAGGAGGCTTAGTTATCTTCTCACATCCACCAAAACCACAGTCATCTCTTCCATCTTCCTATACAAGGCACTGATACCACTATTCCTCCACCTCTGCGTCTCTTCCTGAATTTGACTCCTTAACATATTTCCCATAAAATTTATCACCCTAAGCATTGTAAGTATACAGTTCAGTGGTATTCAATACATTAATATTGCTGTACAACTATTACAACCACAATCCATGTTTAGAATTCTTTTCACGTGGCAAAACTGAAATGCTGCACTGCAGTATAACAGTAACCTCCTCCTTCGTTAGCCCCAGCAGCTACTAGTCTGCTTTCTACCTGTATGAACTGGACTGCTTTAGTTTAGTTATATACCTCATAAAAATGGAATCACACAAGGACAGGTTCATTCTATTCAGTATGATGTCCTTAAGGTTCCACTATGCTGTTGCATGTGCCAGCACTCCCTTTTCAAGGCTGAGTCTACTCCTCTGTCTGTATGTATATAACATTTTACTTAGCCATTAATCTGTTGGCTGACATTAGGTTGCTTCTGCATTTTGGATATTGTAAACAATGCTACCCCAAACATGGTATATAAATATTTCTTTTTAAGACTGCTTTAAATTCTTTCAACTATATACCCCAAAATGGAATTTCTGGACCAAAATGGTAATTCTCTTCAATTTTTGAGTAAGGGCTAAATTGTTTTCCATAATGGCTATGCCATTTTTCATTCCTACTCACGGTAAATGGATTTTAATTTCCACATCTTTACCAACATTGTTTGTTTTTTTTTTTTTTTTTTTTTTTCCGGTACCAGGAACCGAACACCGAACTCACGACCTTGCGCTTGCCAGGCAGGTGCTTTGCCGCTGAGCTAAATCCCCAGCCCCACCAACATTCTTGTTTTCTACTTTTGATAGTAGACATAATGGATGAAAAATGGTATCTTGCTATGGTTTTGATTTGCATTTCCCTAATAATTCCTGATGTGGAGCATCTTTTCATGTTCTTACTATCTGTATATTTTTTTAGAGAAATGTTCCTTAGCTTTTATAGTCAGTAAATAACCAATTTTGGGGTTTTTTTTTGTTTGTTTGTTTTGTTTTGTTTTTTGGTTTTTCTCCGGTACCGGGAACCGAACTCACGACCTTGCACTTGCCAGGCAGGCGCTTTGCCGCTGAGCTAAATCCCCAGCCCCCAAATAACCAATTTTTGTTGATTCTTGCTTTAAAGTATCTGTCTTTCTTTCCAGTTTAAGTCCTTACTTCACATCTGAACATGTGCAGTAGCTACTAAAATGAATAGCTTTGCAAATCACCTTAACACTACTCAATATTCTAAACCACCTTGAAAACTATTAAACTTAACCTGAAATATCAAATTTGTTTTGTTCAATTACCTGTCACCAAACATGTCAAATTTATTTGCTGGACATAAAAATATTCTAGTTTTAAGTAAACTCATCTTTTTACTCTTATCTAATAATTTTTATCTTCATATGTGCACATCTATTTTTTAATATCCAAAGCCCCTAGCACAATTCCACATCCATATCCTGTTTCCATTATTTTACTCATCTGAATTATCTTCCTATCATTCTTTGTCTATTCAAATTCTATGTGCCCTTAAAGTTTCATTTCTCTGAGTTTTGTCCTAATACTCCAATCAGAAGAGACCTCATTTTTTCCCTGAATCTCAAAGTAGACTTGTAATAAAGATTCTCATTTGCATGATTTTAATATAGGCACATTGTTAAAAAAAAAACTTGTATGTACAGGAGAGTTAAAAAAAAAAAAAGTTGCTATGGCACCCTACTATCATACTCCTAAGAACTAGTAAAAACTTTAAATTTTTTCAAATATAAGAAGGAAAATATAGGAGGCATGGTGGCACATGCTTTTAAACCCAGCTCTCAGGAGGCTGAGGCAGGAGGATTGCCAGAAGTTTGAGGTCAGCTTGGGCTACATAGTGAGTTCAAGGCCACCCTGAACTATACAGCTAGACTCTGTCTCAAAGAACAACAAAAAAACCCCAAGTATGTGTTTATGTCTATATTTTTTCTTTTACACAAGTAGATAGGTTGTACTACATACACTGTCCTTCACTTTCACCATAATTTGATTATTCATTCACTTATTGACAGACATATGGGTTGTTTGCAGTGTTTGGTTACTATGAATAAAGCTGCTATGAACATTTCTGTGAAGTATTTTCATTTTTCTTAAGTAATATCTATAAATGAAATTGTTGCCTCAATTGGCAAGAGTATGTTTACTTTAGTGGTAATATTTTACACTCCCATCAGCAATGTATGAGTGTTCAGTTGTTCCACATCCTCCTTACATGTGGTATTACTGATCTTTTAAATTTTAGCCATTTTGATGGATATATAGTGGTATCTTTATAGTTTTGATTTTCATTTTTTCCAACGATTAGTACTGACCATCTATATATTTACTTTTGTGCAGTATCTGACTTAAAAAGTTCTGTATATGATTGTGGATAGAAGTGTTTTGTCAGATGTATGTATTGTGGTATTTTCTTCCTGCAACTTGCTTTCTTAATTGTTCTGGATTGAATTTTAAATATTCTCCCAAAAGTCTGTATGCTAGAGGCTTGGTTGATGGCCTCTGGTGATAGAACCTCTAGCACAGTAGTGGCGAACCTGTGGCACATGTGCTGCAGCGGGCTGCTTGTTATCATTGAAAGTTCTAAAAGGTTCGCCATCACTGCTCCAGAAGTAGCAGCCTAGTGGCTGGAAGTTAGGCCATTGGAAGAATGCCCTTGAAAGGGCTATTGGAACCCTGGTACCTTCCTCTATTTCACTTCCTATACACCATGAGGTGAGCAGCTCTTCCACAATGCACTTTCGTCAGGGTATTCTGTACTGCTACAGGCTCTTAACCAATGGAGCCACTGACCAGTGAATGAAATTGTAACAGAAAACGGCCCCTTTAGCCAAACTTCAGTTTCTTAGTTGCCCAGGTAGTAGTTCCTATTGCAATTCCTGTTGCTTCTTTCTCAGAAACGGCTGGTCACTGTGATCCAAACTGTAAGAACCAATCAAAGACACCAAGTACTCAACCTCTGTACAACCCCCCTTTTGCAGCCCCATAAAAACCTCCCTTTTAGGCCTGACATTTTGAGGGACAACTGATTCCCTGTCAGTGCCTGTCTGATGTTAAATAAATCTGTCTCAAAATCCTCGGTGTTGTTTCAGTGTTTCTGCTTGTCGTTGCAAAATTAAGAGCTAAAATAAACTTGTTTTGGTAGTGGTAATGGTTATTGATCCCAGTGCCACACACTGAGCAACATTCTCAGCCTTTTTTATTTCTATTTTTAAAGACAGGGTCTTATTGCTGGGCATGGTGGCACATGCCTGTAATCCCAGCACTCAGGAGGCTAAAGCAGGAGGATCACACATTCAAGGTCAGCCTGGAATATACAGCAAGACCCCAAACAAACTAACAGTTGCCCAGGCTGGCCTCAAACCTGTGATTATTCTACCTCAGACTGTCAAGTAACTGCAGTTATAGGCATGCACAACTGTGCCAGGATCCAAATTTTTTTTTTTTTTTTTTATATGAGGAATGAACTTGGGACCTTGAGCTTACCAGGCAGGTGCCTGTGCCACTGAGTTACATCCCTGGCCCTCTGGCTCCAAATTTTTATGTGTTAATTTCCGTATCAGTCCCTATAAGTATTTATCCAATTCATAAATGAAGAAACTAAAAACCAGAGAAGTTAAATATCTTGCCTGAGAATATTCAGCTAGAACCCTAGTACACATTTCTACTCACAGGGTCAAATTTTTCCTCTTCCTCTAAATTTTTAGAATTTTCACTCTTTTCTTCTTCATTCTGTTGTTCCGCATATCGCAAAATCCACTCTTTCATATTTACTTCCACATTTTTTTCTTCCTTTTTTGTCTAGAAAGAAAAATAAAATCTGAAACACTGAAGTTAGAAAATGTCAAAACTATCAAGGGTCTGCTTTTATAATTCCTGCTAAAAAAACAGCAGACACATAAAAGTCCACAAGTCATATTCTTTATTATTCAGTGAAGGATAAACTCAATGCAAGTTTAAGAAATCTAAACCTGCAAAATCCACTATGTTTGGGGTAAAGGGGTAAGTGGGATAAAAGGAATATTGTTAAAAACTAGTGTTATCCCTTGAAAACAGAAGTGCTATAAGGATACTTCCATAGATGTATGATCATTTGCAGAGTATGATGCTTTAATGAACTACACCGCCCAGTGCCCGTGTCCTTCTGAGACTTTCAGGGACTCTGGCCTTGGCCATGTGAGTTGCGTAAACCAGTGCAGGGGCGTGATAAGAATTTGTACATGGGACTCACCATTTTTAAATATAGTTGGTTCTCCATATCTGTGGATCTAACCAACCCTCACAAAATATTCCAAAAAACATTATATTTGTGCTGAACATATAGCTTTTTCTTGTCATATTTCTCAAACAATATATTATAACAACTATTTAACATAGCATTGACATTAGAAGTCTCACTCTGTGGAGACAATCATATGGGAAGAAGTTCAAGCTAATCACAGGCAGTGACCACATAGAGAAAGGATACCTGCTGGTCTCCGCAGAGTCCCAAGTCAGGTGAGTAAGGAGCCACTATGGATGTTCCAGCCCTAGCAGGTAACCTCTGAGAACAGAAATGTTCAGCTGAGCATGGCCCAGACTGCAAAATCATGAGAAATAATACACTGTTAGTTCAAACCACAACCCTTTGGGATTATTAGACATGCAGTAATAGAAAACTGAGATAATGATAGAAAGGTTTGGCAAACGATTTAGCTGTTTTTAAGAAGTAAAAATTCAGGAACTTCATATTCATATTAATATAAATTACATGTGCTTCATTCTGATTATATATAGCTTTCAAAGTTTAATTTTTCAATTACCTTAATCTTATGGTCTTCTTCTGTTTTTTTGGTTTTAATTTGCAATGGAAGTGAAACAGTGGCTTGTATTTGAGGAGACTGAAACTTTGGCCTATTTTTAGGCTGTTGCTCTTCAAATTCCTGACTGAATCCTTCAGGAAGTGAATCTTAAGATAAAACAAACTATGTTGAAAATAAACATGCATATAATACATAAAAGACACAAATACTTGTTAAGCACACACAAAGCCCTGCCACAACTTGGTGTACCTATTTTTGTTGTATTCTTTATCTCCCTAGAAATCCTGTGATGAACCTGGATGTATTTGTTGGACTAGAAATGGGCACTCATCAGATGATAGCAAGCCTACCTTTATTTACCAGTTATTTCACCCTATCTTAGGATCCTAAATTTTCATCAAAAGACCTCCACCCCTCCCATTTTTGGCTTTGTTACAGCACATAGCAGTATTCTTTTATTATTATTATTATTAAATTTATTGGTACAGTTTAGAAATACATAATGATCATATTCATCATAGGAAGTTTGTACCTGTGTATGAGATATCCTGATTCCTTTTTTCCCCAATCACCTCTCCTCCCCTTCAACCCCACTTCCCCTCCTTATTTACAGACTTTGTTGTTATTTTATCCTTCTTTTACCATTTTTTTCTTTTCTCTTCCTCTCCCCCTCCAACCTCCCTAGCTCTCCTTTCTTTTGAATTTCTTCCTATTTCACAATACCCATTATATACTTTGGTCCTGATTTACACTTTTGGTGTCCCACACCAGAGAAACAGTGTAATATTTACACATTTGATCAATTTATTTCACTTAAAAGTATGGTCTCAAGGTGCATCCATTTTCCTAGAAATGTCTCAAGTTTATCCTTCTTTATGGCTGAGTAATATTGCAATGCATTAAAAAAAACCATACCTTTTTTATTCATTTCACGGTTGATGGGCATTTGGGTTGTTTCCAAGGTTTAGCTATTACAAAACATGGATGTACATATATCACTGTGGTATGGTGTTTTTAATTCTTCTGGGAAGATACCCAGAAGGGAAATAGCTGGGTCAAATGGAACCTCGAATCCTAGTTTTTTGAGGAATCTCCATGCTGATTTCCACAGTGATTGCACCAGTCTACACTTCCACCAACAGTGGAGAAGAGTTACTTTTTCCCAACATCCTTTCCAGCATTTTTTACTGGCTGATTTCTTTTTTTAAAAACATATTTGGTTTTTGTTTTTCGTCTGGTACCAGGAATCAAACTCACGACCTTGAGCTTGCCAGGCAGGCACTGTGCCGCTGAGCTAAATACCCAGCCCCACTGGTTGATTTCTTGATGATAGCCATTATTTCTGGAGTGAGATGGAATCTCAGTGTTGTTTTAATTTGCACCTCTCGAATGGTGGGGGTATTCTTAACCTGTCACAAAAGCTATCTATAGTCTAGATGCTTGCAAAAGATTAAAGCCATGCCTGTCTGTTTAATCAAATATTTATACCCAAGGACAGCCCTAATTTCTACATCAAAACCTGAAAGACATAGCCTAGTACGTTTTAGACAGGCAAAGTCTGAGAATGTGTATTGTAAAACGACTATAAGCAACTGTTCATTTATTTTTAAAATTAATCAATTAATTAATTAATTAATTTTTGTGGTGCTGAGCATCACACCCAGGGCTTGGGCACACAAGCAAGAATTCTACCACTCAGCCACATCCCCAGACCCCAACAACTGTTCATAAGCAACACACAAAAAAGAAATTGCTTGCATAGACCACAACTTCTAAGAAGAATATAATGCAAAGAATTAAATTAAGCACATTTAAAATGTAAAAAATTATAATGGTGAAAAGTTTTAAGTACAAGCCAAAAGGATGATATAAATACTGAAACTATTTCAAAGTGGTTCAGAAACTGGAAGAATCTTACAACAGAACTGCTTACCATCTGAAAGGTTTAAACAGAGCCAATCCAAAGCAGAATGAAGATCACCTCCATGCAGGAGTGTATTGGTCATGGCATCTTCAATGTCCTTAGTTTTAAATGAAAATGCTTGTAAAGCCATGTATAAATCCTATGAAAAGAAAACATTACAAAAAGCCTCACTTGTCAATTTCTCTTCTTTTATTTCTAATTTTATCTTCATTCATTTTAAACCAGAAACTAATTCATAATTTTAAAAATAGCTTTTTTGGAGGGAGTGCAGAGGAGGTGTCGCTTAGTGGCAGAGCGCTTGCTTAACGTGCATAAGGTCTTGAGGTCAGTGTTCAAGCTCCAGTACTACATACATACACAGAGAGAGAAAGAGACAGACAGACAGAAACAGAGACAGAGACAGAGAAAGACACAGAGAGAGAGAAAATATATACACATCACCCCATTCCCAATAGAAAAAGGTAAATGTGTTCAATGTAGTGAGATTTGGGGAACTACAAATATATTTTTTTTATTATCTAGAGATACTCTTTATAGTATAGTACATTTACTTCAGTTATTTTCTTATACTTTTATATAAAATACTTCAGTTGACACAGGCGTCCTCTCAAATTATTAGAAACTCTTAACAGCATTTCTAATAGTTAAATAATATGCCATTGAGTACATTTTCCTATGAGTGAACACTTAGGATTTATTTTATTACAAGCAGAGCTTTTGACATCTTTATATATAAAGATAAACCATTTTGATATACTTTTGACAATAAGATCTTCACAGTCGGGCAGAACTGGGTTCAGATTTGGCTCTGCTCACTCTGCTATTTATTAATTACTAATGTTAGGCTATAACTTTTCATCTTTCTAAGCCTCAATTCTTTAAAACAATAGAGGCCAAATACATCTACTTTGTAGGATTGTCATCTCAGAGAAACTTAAGTAAAGTACCTGGCAGAGTCTAACACATAATGTAATTTGGGGAATGTAATTTAGTCTTCATATCATTTCATTGGGTGAAACTGTATCAGGCAGGGCTCTCTGTTCTCTGTTCTTGGAGATGCAAGCCTATATGAGATCTATATGAGATGTAAATCTATATGAGATCTTAGTGGAAGCTGAGAAAACCATTTTCATCCCATGTGGAGCTGTCTTAAAAATGCCCCACTAAAACTATGGAACTTCAAAAAAAAGTTTGCAAAATACCTGTAATTTTTTGGCAGTAAGTCTTCCAGAAATCACCCCCTTGTCATTATTTTGCTTTTTATGTTCATTGATCACTCCAATAATTCTTTGCTCTAGCTTGTTATTAATTACCACCTGTGGGAGCCAAAATGGTTACAGCAATTAGAAGCTAAATTACTAAAAGAATTAGAAGAAAAATCATCTTTTATATTCCTGCCAAACAAGCCCAAAATTTCAGCTAAACGCTGGAACAGTTTTTTTTTTCTTTCTTTTGACTACCATTCATTTGTCTACAACTTAAAAAGTATGGGATATGGAAAAAAAGTAATGAGCTAACATATGGAAAAAAATCCTCAAATAAAGCTTCTCTATAGTCAGTGTCTCCAGACAGTGTCCTTGGATCACCCTTGGGCTGCTATGACAAGATAGACTACCAAACCCTACCCTAAAGGTACTGAATCAAAATCCTTGGGAATGAAATCCGGAAATCTGCTTTAATGTAAACCAACACAAGCCAAAGCCTGACAGAATGAATGCTACACTAAAAAAGAGGAGTATCAAATAAAAGTAAAAATTATATGTATACATAGTATGAATAGGTAACACAAAATCCTTTGACCCAACAGTTTGATTCTCATTTTTTCTATTAGCTACTTATGTACTGTTCTTTCCATATTTTTAACCCAAGAATATGTAAGCTTCTACCAACAAAAATACATTCTCTTTATCACCTCTTAACTGAATGCTTACCACAAAATACAAAAATATATTTTAGGAACTCAAAGTCTAGCCAGGAAACACATATAAAGAAACAAATTATAACCTAGCATGACAATGCCTTAAAAAGATATATTTAGTGCTGACAGATCCAAGACAACAGACCTGGTGAGTTATGTGTAGGACTTCAAGAGGTCACAGAGGTGACAAATAAAAAGGAGAAAGTGAGGCATTCTAGGTAGAGAGCACAATGGGAAAAAGTCTGAAGTCATAAAATCATGTGGAACTTGGGAGAACAAAGAATGTCCCATGAACTAAAGTTTTAAGTGGAGAGCAGGAAGGAAAAGTATTCTAAGTGAGATCTGAAAACATGAGGATGCCATGCTTAGAAATTTGGAACTTATCCAAAATTTCCTTAGTTTCTTAGAGGCTCTCAACATGTGTACAATTTACTTCTATTTAGTAAGAATAGCTCTTTGATTACTCTTTAAAATATACTATTATTTTCCTATATTTAAGGATATGTCATTTTAAAAAAAGTATATTTCTTGTAACAGCTCAAAACTTGGTTACTTACTTTCAAAATAGACTTATCCAGATTTGCAGGACCACCAGTATCATTTGAAGAATTAAAACTATAAATTTTTGGACCTGTATGTAATAGACAACAAATAGTCAAGGCCATTTAATGATTAATATCCATTGTACTATTTTAATTTTCCTCTAAAAATTGCTAGACATCAAATATTTAATTTCAATACCCCTCCTCACTTCACCAGATGAGTCAATGGTAGTAGTAGTTAGCAATGTTCCTTCTAAACTGTTTTACAAATTACCATTCTTCTAGTTTAACTACTTTCTCCTCAAATATGAACCCATAATTATCTTTAAGGTTCATCTTCACATTTTTTAATCAGATGCTTTTCTTTCTGGCAATTAGAGGAAGCTCTAAGACTTCTTGGATACTATCAGATTGTTGGCAGAGATGGGTAATTCCAAAGAGAAAGTATTCCTCCCCAGAAATGAGATGCTAAGTGAAAAGGGAGGTGGCAGTCCTATCTCTTCTCCTCAGACTCAAGTCCAAAGGTCACCGTATTGGTTTTCTACAGCTGTCATAGCAAATCACCATGAACTTGATGGGTGAATACGCCAGGAATTTAGTCTTTCACGGACAGAAGTTCAAAATCAACATGTGAACAGGACCATGTTCCCTTGGAGGGTTTTAGGCAAGAATACTTCAGTTTCTTCCAGTTTATGTTTACCCCAGGTGCTGCTTGGCTTGTTGGTAATGGAACTTTAGTCACCAACTGTTTTATAAGGCCTTCTTCCCTATCTCTTGATGTCCAAATCTCCCCTCTTTTTCCTCATGCCGATAGCCACTGGATTGAGGGCCTGAGCTAAATTTGGGATGATTTCATCTGAAGATCTTTAATTATACCTGTAAAGACTCTATTTCCAAATAAGATCTTATTCTGAGGTTCCAGGTAGACATGGATATTTTAGGGTACACTAGTTATTCAACTCACTAAAGTTGTCAAGTCTGTTCCATGCAACAGAAACGTATCTATCCTCAGTCATTGAAAAATGAGTAAAAGGGAGGAATAAATACTATTTTCAAACTTTTGGTTCCATTGCCTCTTTCCTCTCTTCAAAATTATTGAGAATCCAAATAATTTTTATGTAGGTCTTATCTACTGATTTTGCCACATTATAAGTTAAAAGTGAGAATTTCATTATTTGTGAAATCACTAAATGTAGTAACCCTGGCATATATATTAATATAGATTAAACTTTTAGTAAATATACCAATATTTAATATTTTCCAGTTTGGTAATTTTTTTTTTTTAAACTCAGAGCTCCATGTAGCAAATCTCTTTTTCTTTCTCTCTTCTCTTTCTATCCCCCGCCCAGGGTTTCACTATCTACAGTAGTTCAGGCTGGCCTTGAACTTACAATGTAGCCCAGGCTGGCTCTGAACTTGCACCCATCCTCCTGCCTCAGCCTCCAGTATGCTGGGACTGCAGGTGTGTGCCATTGGGTAGCAAATCTGTTTAATGTCTGCTGTTTTGGTCTGGTCAAACTGCCATAATAAAAATACTACAGACTTCTGGGTGATTTAATAAAACTTGATTCCTATTGTTCCGGAGGCTGGGAAGTACAAGATCAAGGGATAGCTGTAGACATTTTGTCCTCAGCCACCTTCTCTTGGTTTATAGGTGGCTGCTATCTTGCTGTATCTTCATATGAGTTTTTCTCCATCCTTCCTTGGACAGGGATCCAATGCTTAGGTGTCTCTGATAAGGACACCGTTAGATCAGGATCCTACCCATATGACCTCATTTAACTTTAATCACTTCCTTAGAGCTCTTATCTCCAAATATAACCACACTGTGGATTAGCATTTTATACATGAAATTTTGGGACACAATTAATCCACATTTGGCTTATGTACTCAATTTATTGTAATAATACACATCATGTACCTCTGCTATATTCACTGGGTAGAAATCAGGATCCTTAAATGTGGGCATATTTTAATTTTAAACAATAATCTAAGGAACTGAAGCAATCACAACATTTTACCATAAGAGATATCATCAGTTAAACAAGGGCCTATCATTTTTGTAATTCTTCCTGGAACATGTTGATATGATACTTAACCAGCATGAATAATGATTCTAGGATTTGGAATTCACTTTTAACTTTTTTTTTTTTTTAATGGTACTGGGGATTGAACACAAGGTCTTCATACTGAGCTACATCTCTAAATTGCTAACTTGCCTTGGGTGGGTTCAAACTTGAGATTCTCCTGTCTCAGTGTCCCAGAGTGCTGGAATACTAGTTTGAACCACCATGCCAGGCCAGCTGCCAATTCAGAATGTCAACCTGACAGCTTTCCATGCCAGGCTTTAACCTGTTACACAGGAAAAACTGAAGGTGCCAGAAGAAAATAGATATCCAAACTTGTTAAACCAATACTTGTGAATACAATTTTAAGTCAATAGCGCATGGAATAAAGTTGGATCCCATAAGTAAAGTGCTTAAGATTTCTGACAGCGCCTTTCCTTAGCACATAGAGCCCTCTTTTCGTAAATTTTGGTTTTTGTTTCAGATGGTAGAAGTTACTGGAAGTAAGGATGATAGTATGTATAGTCTGCAAAGCAAAAGTATTATGAATACCAAATTTACAAATGAAAGGTCATGGAACAACGCAACATATAAAATTGCCTCTCAAAAGTATTTACCATACTGCAATTGAAGACAGATAAACTAAGTCATTACCTTAGGGTGACTCCGCTAATTACAAAAAAAAGCCTACCAGAATCAGTTTCATATTGCCCTATATGCTATTAGAAAATATTCCTTTTACCCTACCTTGTATGTTACATCAAACCGTGATGTTAGTGACTTACCAGCACTAAGACACTTCCTTTGGCTTGTTAGCACTCTAATTCCCTTCTGATCAACAGTGCATCCATCTGCAAAAAGATTTATCTGCCAAGGGATCCAAACAGGAACTATGGTTGTAAAGACCCAGTCCCTGTTCTCACGGGGCTTATATTCCAGAGTAATATAATGAGCAAGGAACCAATTACCAAAATAAACTAAAATAATAAGTGCCAAGAGACTAAATCAGAGTGAATTGATACAATCTGAGCAGTTAGACCCTGTGAGGAAGTATGCGCAACCAGAGCTACTAGTTAGCTCATTTTAAGATGTACACCAGTTAGTGTCTGTTGGCTACTCAATACCAACACCTGTCTCCCCACTTCCCATTGCACTTGGTTTCACCCCTTCCGAGACCTCTGATCTCATTTTAGCATGCTCCCTCTCTCATCCACCTGCAGATGGTTTTTCCATAATAGGTCACACTTGTTGCCACCTTTGAATCTTTGGGCTGTTCTCTCTGCCTCAGTACAGACCCCAAACTTTCCAACAGCAAGTCGGCCTAAATGCTTCCTATGGGAAGCCATTCCTATTCAAACCCAAAATACGTCTCACCACATTTGTCCTTTACCAAGTCACTACTTTTCATCCTTCACAGAATGTTTTGATGACACCCCCTCAACATATTTAGAATAGTTTTTATGAATTTATGACATGTCTCCCAGTATTACTTCTTGGATTTAAAATTTCAAGTAACTTCAAGGATTTCCAGAAACACTAGCCTTTTGCTTAGAAAAAAAAAAACTGAAACTCTTATTTTGGTCTGATTCACACCATGGCATAGCAGATCTGGTTTACACCATGGCAAAGCAGCTGAGCTAATTATAAGTACGCTAAAGGTGGAAGCACTGTTTTTTTTTTGGAGGTGGGAGTCTACGCTATCTCTGAACTCACAGCAATAGTCCTGTCTCAGCCTACTAAATGTTGGGATTACAGGCACCTGCCTGGCTAGGTAGAAACACCTCTAAGGCAAAGACACAGAAACAGAAAGGAAAAGTGGAAGACAGAAAGAGAAACATGGGAAAAGGTGTTGCTATTTCTAGAAAACGCAAGCCATGCACTTCAAGGCCTTCACTGTTCTCTCTGCCTGGAAGGCCCTACTCAGATACTAATTTACACGTCTCCTTGGCTCAAATATCACTTCTGTGTGATGTCTTCTGACCATCTTCTTTAAAAATGATACTCTTTCTACCCTTCTCTCTTTACCTACCACTCAGCATCACTAAATGTAGAAGAAATCTTGTTTATCAGTTCTGGCCCCCTAAAATAAGTCTCCATCTTGCCCTACTCCTGACCCTTCTATAAGGAAAGGTCTTTGAAAACACCGTTTTCTTCCTGTGGTATCCCCAGTGCCTAAAATTTTTCTTGGCATATTAATAGCTCTTCAAACATTTTTCAAGAAACAGATGAATCAAACAGGAATAGCAAGAATACCCAAAATTGTGCCAAGAGCCATTTGGTGGCACCAGTAGTTTTTGACCTTTAGATTACAGCACATTTTGACAAACTGTGCTGTGTACAACCCTTCTTAGTATCTGAAAAGATAGGAAGGGGCAGAAATAACTATGCATACATTAGAACTACAGGGCTGGGGATTTAGCTCAGCAACATAGCGCCTGCCCGGCAAGTTTGAGGTCGTGAGTTTGACTCCCGGTACAGGAAAAAAAAGGAAAAAAAAACAAAAAAAAGAATTTGATGAGATTACAAACCTGAAATTAAAGAGCCAGGGATATAGCTCAGTGGCACAAGCGCCTACCTGGCAAGCGCAAGGTCCTGAGTTCAATTCCCAGTACCAAAAAATAAAATAAAATAAAATAAAAAATTTAAGAACTACAAAGAGCTGAGAACTTCCTCATTTTTTTCCTCCAAAGAAGGCCTATTATGTTTTCTAAAAATATTCAAAAAAGAAAAATTAAAACTTTACTACCAATTTAGTAGATAACTGCCTCTTTTTCTCTCTTTTGATTTCTTGCTTTTAATAATTCCTTTGAATTTTTCTTTACCATTTATCCAAAGAATTTTTAGATGTTAACACATTTCCATTACATCCTATTATTTTGTGGGATACATAAAATGTGCAGTTCAGCAGGTACCATAGAGCAAGTCCTAACTATCAAAAAGGGTGATATAAACAACCATGGTACATGGGTCCTACATATCAGAGACAGTTCAAAAAGGAGGTAGCTGGGCACAGCAGCACACACTTGTAATCCCAGTACTTGGGAGACTGATGCAAGAGAATCACAAGTTTGAGTCCCACCTGAGTGATTTAGTAAGACTGTCTCAAAACAAAACAAAACAAAATTTAAAGAGCTGGGGATATACTTCTTTGGTAGAGTACCCTGGAATTTGATTCATGGTATGGAAAAAAAAAAAAGATGATATTCAAAGAGGGTATTATAGGGTTTGGTAGACTGTGTTATGGACAGCAACATTTCATGAAGAGAAAATTACATACAGTAAGCTAACAGTTCCATTTGGAGCAATGGAAACACACCAGATTTGCTATAGCTGAAAGTTAGGGTTTGGATTTTACTATGAAGTCAATGAGCATGCTATGGAAGAAAGGGCAAGCGGTAAGACCAATCTGATGCTGGTATGTTGGAAAGACTGGAGGAGGAAAAAGAGCAAAGCTGGGGAGGACCTATTAAATGCCCCTCTGGTGCTCCAGGGATTCATGAGAATCTTCACTATGTTCCAACTACATGTAAAAGTGAGAGGGTGTAGTGGAAAGATGTAAGTGAGGAGTGCACAGAGCCATGCATGGCCACAGATTGAAAGCAAGGAAGGATGGAAAGCATTCAAAGTATGTTTGATCTTCAACAAACAGGAATGTAGAAAAACAGAAAAAAAGGAAGGGGGGAAAGTTGGTATAGTATAAGCCATGTTAAATTAGAGATGCTTACAAAAAAGAAAAAAAGACAAACAGTTCAGAAAAATGTTGAAAGGCCTAACTAGAGCTTGGGAGCAAGACCAGTATATATTGCTTGTAGTTACCTACGATGAAAGGACGGAAGTAATAGAACTAGATGAACTCCCTTAGGAGAGCTGTAGGTGGAAGCTATACTGCCAAGGACACCTTCAGAAAGGGTCACATTTGGGGACTGGAGGAAAGAAAAGCCAAAGAATACAACAAATGACCATCAGAAAATTCAAAGAATTCAGACACATGTCAGTAAAAGACAAAGGGAAAGTAAATCTGATGTTGATCAACAGAGTAAAACTGCCACAGAATAGTCAAAGAGAAATTCCATGTATTTGTAATTACAAGCACAATAACTTTGTAGTTAAAAGATTACAACAAATTGCACAGTAAAGAAGTATTATCTAAGGCCAGCGAGGTGGTGTACACGTCATCCCAGCACCTGGGAGGCTGAAACAGGAGGACTGCCTTATGCTTGAAGCCAGCCTGGGCTACACAGTGAGTTCAAAGCCAGCCTGGACTACATAGTAAGACCCTGTCACCAAAAAGCCAAAACAAAAACAAAAACAAAACCCTCAAACAAACAAAAAGAAGTATCATCCAATTTTTAGATCAAAAATTGGTATTTGCCTATTTATCCAGTCTCATACCTTTTCTTCCTTTGGCAATGTTGGAATTTATGACCTCCTCAGGACCCCCAAGCTCTGTTTTGATTCAAGATCTTTGCAGTGTCCTCCTTAGCTCTCCCTGGTGCAGAATATTATTTTCACCAACGGTTTACAAAGTTAATCCCTTCCCATCTGCAATGGCTGATACATTGTGTCAACTTAAAAAGTTTATAAGTTTAACAAAAGCCATGCAGCAGGGAGCCAGGTTTCTCACTTTGTAAACATTCTGAGTGCAGGGAGATGATGTGAATGCTATTCCCGCCTTGGAATGAGGTAGCCTGCTAACAATATAAGGGAGGAAAAGACCCTTGCTCTCCCTCTTTTGCTCTTGCTGCTTCTGCCACCTTGAACTATGCCACTCACCATGGCGCCCTGCCTTGGAGCCAGCTGATTAAGGACTGACTCCACAAACCATCGCTAAATAAACCTTTCCTTCAGTAATGTTGGGTGTCGGGTATTTTGTACCAACAACCAGAGAAAAGTAAGTAACACACCATCCTCGTGATCTCAACTGTCACTTTTCCAGGCCACGCACCATTCCTGCTCTTCTCTAGTAAAAATTAGGTTATCTTGTTTAACTCTTCTCAGGATTTTCTCATCAATTATAGAGCAGTGCATCAGTGTGATTAGCTAATACCTAGCTCCAATATTAGACTGGCAAGCTGCATGGGAAGTAATGTGTCTATTTTGCTCATCTCATTTCCAACATCGCATCAGACACAAGGCAAATATTTGAATATACACACACATATATGTAAAAATGTATATATACACACATGCTCGGTAAATACTTGTAGATGAACACCCCAATAAGAACAACAAGCAAACACAAGAGGAGAATGTAATTTTCATCTGCAGCAGGGATCGGTCATGTCTAAGTTATCAAACCAACTGGCAGAGTAAGCAAAAATGCAAGGCTGCAGAAAACAGTGCGGGTAATTCTAAAATCGGTCACACCCATGTTCAGTGAACACTGTTCTTCTTATTAAGTACTGATTTTTCCAGAACACATAGAGGCGCTACATCGCTGCTGAAACGCACTGTATGTGTTCTTGGAAGGAGAAAAGCGCGATCAGAAGGGAGACGCTAGGTTGCAACAGGACCATCATCAGAACTGTGGAGCCCTAACATACTTAGACCGATGTTCATAAAGGCCACCCCTGAAGAGCTAGCAGCCCCGGGTGTAGGAAAAACGAATTTTGAGCCCAAGGGTCTGAGTGGGTTTGAAGGCTTGCCTAGGGAGAAGCAACAAGATATCAGGACAGATAACTAGGAGCCGCGTGACACGCTGTACCTTGCTTGACTCGGGGCTCCCGGGCGCTGGGAGCGACGGCGGGGGGCTGCCTGGCCACCGGCTTCTGGCTTTGGGCTTCCCCGGCAGCTCCGGCCTCGGAAGATTTGGCTCTGGAAGCAGACACGGCGGCCCGGACCGCCGCGGCCCCCGGGGTCTTGTGTTTCTTGTTCTTGCCACCCATGCTACAGCCTTGGCAGAAGACTCTCCCAGGTCCACGCTCCTGCTCTGCTACAGCGGAACCCTGGAGACCACTTCACCTAGCTCGCGCCCTGCCAACGAGGGTGCTCCATCCGGGCTCCTGCGGTCGCTCGGGGTGACTGCAGCTTCGCAATTGGTCCGATTCTCCAGACTCCGCCTCCTCTCTATCCCTCTCCCAGCCCTACAAAACCTGCCGCGTGCCGGGTGCGGTGTACGGGGTACGCGCTCTGGTTCCTAACCTGCCTACCCACCAGTAATCACAAAGGAGAAACAAAACAAAGAATCCAAAGAACAGCAAACAAAACAGAAACATAAAACAGAAAGTTCAGGTGGCCTTGCGATTTGATTACTTTGGTCTCCTACGGGCCACTGTGGTGCCTTGGCTTGGCGTCACTGCCGGTGCGGTCGCGGGGCACTGTGGGTAGGACGGAGATTAGGTCTTGCTGCTTCGAAAGATGGCGGATGCTTTTGGGGATGAGCTTTTCACCGTGTTCGAAGACGAGTCAACGACTGAAGCCGGCACCAAGAAAGAGAAAGAAAAAGAGAAGGGAAAATGGAGAGGACCGCCAGGGTCTGCAGAAAAGGGCGGGTAAGGAAGACTTCCAGGTTGTTTTTATTTAGAATGCTGTTTGGGGAAACACGAGATATTGGCTTTTCCTGGTGTCCTTGTCCGGCGGCAGCGTGAGCTCCTGCCGCGGCGCTTCCTTAGGCGCGCTTTGCTGACTCTACCCCTGTGTTTAGCCGGGGAATATCGAGGGTCCATAAGGTTTCTGTTGGTGCTGTGTATGGGACGTAGTCTTTAATAAGCAGGAATAATGACTGGTTCAGTGCAGGGGGAATGAATTTAGAAAAAAGTGTCTTGGAGAGGAAAGGGCAAAAAGAAATAAGGGAGAGAAATCTAATGTTGAAACTTCAGTTTTCTCGTCCATAAAGTGGAGATTCACTGTTTACCACTTGAGTTAATGTGAGGATTAAATGAGATGTGTAAAGTGACGAACTATACCTATCACGTGGTGAAGTTAAATGCTAGATACGGTGACCTTGTTTAGAGAAATTAAAAAACTGGACTAGAGAAATAAAACTTACTAGAGAAATTAAACTAGAGAAATTAAAATTACTGGACCCTACAATACATATGATCGCCGTAAAATGTACAGAACTATGTATGGGACAAAGAAAAGCTATTTCTTGGTTCATTATTAACGAAATTTACTCTGAATTGCGAAGAGAGATACCCAGTAAGTGAATGAATTAAATTAGGCATGATTTTGCTCCCAAGACAGTTTCTTTCTAGGTAAAGAGATAAGAGCACTAAAATTCAAGTTGTTAGCAGTATGTGTTAGTAGGTGACATTAAGTAGTGTGTAAAATTCAGGAAAGGGAGATTCCTGTTCGTAATGTTTAGGAGACCATTAGATGCAATAGGATATTCTGGCTTGAGAAATTATAAGTTAACGGTGCCAAGATTTTTGTATAGCATAAATTAGGCTAAAGGACGCTGTTCGCTTTTGTATTATCAGACCTAAGGCTGAGAAAAATTTTGCTTTTACCACACTTTCTTTATACACAAGTAGAGTACTACTCAGACATGAAGAAGGATAAATTCGAGTCACTGGTAAGAAAATGTATGGATCTTTTTTTGTTTTGTTTTGTTTTGTTTTCCCGTACCGGAAATCGAACTCATGACCTCCCACTTGCCAGGCAGGCGCTGTGCCGCTGAGCTAAATCCCCAGCCCCAGTATATGGATCTTGAGACCATAATTCTAGGTGAAGTAAATCAGGCACAGAGAATAAATATTACATAGTTTCTCTTATATGCAAAACCTAAGATATAAATAATTTAAAGAACAAAATAAAAGAGAAATAGAAGGAAACAGATAGACTTTGTGGGGTTTGGAAGGGGATCTGGAAAAGGGGAAAGGGTAGAGTGGGTGAGTGAAGAGAAGTAAAAATTATCAAGATGTGATACATAGATGTGCCAGTTCTCCAAGATGAATTTAATTTATATATTGCAAAGATCTACCAACAGTAAAAAACTTTAAAATATATTTGTATGTTGGTGTTAGATTTTGAGGGGTCTTAAATATGGAATAGCAAGCGGAGGAGTTTTCATTTTAAACCTTTTTGAACAACGTTTTTAGAATTTTTTTCCTAACTTTGTTAAATAGATGGTCTAGGAAAACTAACTTGGTTGTAGTTGGCAGAGTATATTGCAAGGAAAGATGCTGATAGAAAATCAATTGTTGTGCCTTCTGTTTAGATGTCCCCCCAAAGCCTCATGTGGTCATAGGTAGCGCTTTTGCAGAGGTGGCTGGAGATGCCTGTGGGGAACTATAGTGACACTTAACACAGAATTTATAGAGAAGTATGTAAGACTAAAAGAGAATAGTAGGATAGCAGAAAAAGAAGTGTGAAATGTTGCATAAGAACATTTCACACTTATGGGGGACCCTTTCAGGAAAAAAATGAGAAAGGATGACAGATTTCCCTTTTTTCCTTCCACCAAGACAAAAGTTATTAATAGTTGCCAAGTATTTAGGTGGACAACTATAGTTTGAAGATAATATGTACATACATGATTTCTCATTTTGTACTTTATGTCAGTATTATTGTGGTGAAGTTATTCTACTTGGCTAGCCTCACACTTGCAGGGATCCTCCTGCTGAAGCGTAAATGCTGGAATTAAAGGTATGTGCCACCAAATCTGGCTTTCATTTTTATCTTGATTATAGTTGAAATGATAGTATTTTTTGTATAGGGCTAACTAAAATACTTAAAATTTATTTCACTTGTAGCTTTTAATATGGTTAAATTATGTACACATTTTACATTACCCAAATATACATATGTATTTTACAGTGCTGAACTGGAGACTTCTTTATGGTAGATTCAGTTTCAGTTGTTTTAGATGAGGATACCTCATACCTGTTTCATCGTAAGATGAAGGATGTCTGATTATTCTACACCAGGATTGATTGATAGGTTAAAATGGTGTCAGCCTCAATCCTTCATCAAAGTCCTATAAGGATTTTATCACCTGTTGATGATTGCTTGGATCTGTTATTTTCTAATAGTTGCAGAGTGGTGAGTTTCTGTTTTTCTTTCTGCCTCTTATTACCTGGAATCTAAAAAAACCTGTTACCTTAGCTGGGCATGGTGGCACACACCTATGATGTACTCAAGAGGCTGAGGCAGGAGGATTGTCATGAAGTCAAGGCCAGTCTGAAGTACATCATGAGACCCTGTCTCAAACACACACACACACACACACACACACACACACACACACACCCCTTTTATCTCATCAGCTGTTCATTTACTTTGAAATAAAGTTCATAAAAAGAAAGCAGTATTAATGATGGATTCTTTCTCTTTTTAAGTTTTTGAGAACTGAGTTGTACTTTAAGAAGTATGTGTGCCCACCAGACCTTATTTCTTTCCTTCCGGATATAATTGAAGTACATTAAAGTGTAGTTAAGATAACATATATTTCCATTACCTCTAGAAGTTGCTTTGTACCTTTTCTAATGCATCCCTATCTTCATCCCTGCTTCAGGGAAGTATGATTTGTCAGCTATAGAACAGCTTGCACTGTCTAGAGTTTTACTTAAATTGAACATTATTTAAAATTTTATTTAAATACAGTGTCTTTTCTTGCTTGGGCTTTCCTAAGTATTTTTGAGATTCATTCATGTAGCATATATCATAAAGTTTGTTCCTTTTTATTACTTAGTAGTATTCTGTGTTATGGATGTACCAAATTTGTTTATGCCGTTATCCATTAATGGACCTTCAGGTTGTCATTTGTTTTTAAAACTACTTATTTATTTTGCAGTAGTGAATATTGAACACGTGGCATTTGCACTGGGCTATCTCTCCACCCTGTTTTTTAAATTTTGAAATAGGGTCTCACACTGAGTCAGTAAGTTGCTCAGTTTGAACTCAAACTTGGGATCCTCTTGGCTCAGCCTCTCAGAGTCCTGGGATTACAGGTGTGAGCTATCTTGCTGACTTCCATTATTACTTTTGATACTTGGATTTCTAATCAGAGATCAGTGAGAACCCTTCAGATTGCCTTTTGTGAACTTTTAACAAGATAATGTTAAGTCTTTGATATCCTGTGCTTTATGGGAAAAGTTATCAGAATGACGTTACCAGTCTTGCCCACTTTTCACCTAAATATCCCAAACATTAACATTTCATGTTTGTTTTGTCCTCTGTTCCTCCTTTTCCCATTATACACACATGTACACCTGCGTTTATATGTATGAATGTTCATGTGTTTATACTTTTCTTTCAGTTGTGTAGAGGAAGATATGGATATGTTGCCAGTTTTTTTCTAAATTCTTACTTTAGTGTATACTTTATGAAATTAAGGGCGTTCTTGTATATTACCACAATACACATTACAATTTTCAGAATAAGGAAATAGGGTCTGGTGCCATGGCTCATGTTTGTAATGTCATTTGTGGCTAGCCGAGGCAACTTAGCAAGACAGTCTCAAATAAAATTTTTTTTAAAATGGGGTTAGTATGTGGCTCAGTGGTAGAACACTTAACCTAGCACGTGTGAAGCTCTAGGTTCAATCCCTGCTACCACCCTTCAAACAAAATTATGTAGTTAACATTGACAAGATAGTGCCCTTTCTGGTGCTGTAAAGAGAAGTATGCTGTCCTTATGAATTTCTAGAAACAACATTTTTAGATAATTTCAAGAAGTCAAACCTTATTTAAGAGTAAATTGGTTACCTATATACGACACTTTGTTTCTGGATAACTCAGGTGTTTCAGCTATGCATATTCTACATGTGGCACACACACACACACCCAAAGAAAAAAAAAACAACTGGAGACCTAGAAGTCTTAACACACAGTATAAAAAAATAAGTTACTCTTTGCAAGATAATCTTTTGCACATGGGAAGGTGAGGAACAGGTGGGAAAGGGGGTTAAAAAAAGAATTCAGATGTGTTATGTGCATGTACCAACTGGGGAAATTTGATCATTGTGTACTACGAACATGTACTAAGAAAACAAAAACAAACAATTACAAGATATTCTAAATGAAAATGTTCTACTGGTTTTTTTTTTCAAGCTTGAGAACTAGTCTTCTTTAGCTCCTAGTAGAATTATTTTAAGTACAGTGGATGAATTGATGCTTACTCAGAATAATAGTAGAACTGAAAGAAATTATAATTATTTTCCAGCTGTATTATTTTTCTGAGGACCAAGGATATTGATGGCTTGTCCCAAGGAAGTCCATACTAGTAATCAGCAACTGATCTAGGGAATTGGAAGTGACAGGTTTTTTAAATTTTAGAAAGCTTCAATTTGGAAATGTTTAAGCATGTAGATCAACACTATTGTGTGTTACACCTTTTTAAAAACAAGTAGAACATACGAAGAAAAATATGGAGGTCATGAGGTGAATTTTATGGCGTGAACACACTTATACAGCCACTACTCAGGAAAAAAAGAGTATTAGAGAAAGCTTATCTCCCACAGAAATGACTGTTGTGACAAAATGTCAAATTTTTCCATCTGTGACTTAAAGTTTATAAATGAAATCACCCAAAAAATGTTCTTTTGTGTTTGGCTTTGGCTAAGTATTGTTTGCAAACTTTATAGTAGCTCTAGCAGTGGCTTTCTAAATGTGATTGAGTTCTTGTATGAGGTTAGAGGAAAAATCACAATTATCTGAAGAGTCTATTAAAATATTCTGCCTTTTTTTATCAATTATGTACCTGTAGGAGGCTGGGTTTTTCTTCATAAACTTCAGCTAAAATAGTATATCATATCAAGTTTAATGCAGAAACTGGTGACAGAGATTTGCAGGAATATGAAACAGTGCCCCTCTTTTATTTTTAAAACATTTTTGTAAATGTTTATTTTTGTATAAAATGTTTTGTTATTTTAAGGCAAATTAATGAGTAATGGGGGAGGGCAATAATGGAGGATTGAACCCAGGGTCTAAGTATGTAGTATTCTAACACTGAGCTGTTACCCCACAGCCCTCAAGTACCTTTAAATTTTAATATCTGAGTAAATATTAATAGATAAAATTACCTAAGCACAATTCTTTGGAATCGTCTGTAATTTTTAAGACTGGGAAAGGATTCTTTTTTTTTTTTCCTGAAGCAGGCTCTTTTTATTTCCCTGAAGATCATGCTCACTCTGGAGTCCAGGCTGGTCTTGAACCCATTATGTAGCCCAGCCTGACCTTGAACCCACAGTGACCCTCCTGCCTCAGCCTCCCAAGTGCTGGGATTACATACTTATAGGCATGCATCACCATGCCTAACTTGGTGAAAGGATTCTAAAACTGAAACATTTTAGCTTCTGACCTAGTATTGCCTAATTTACATTTCTTATAACTTCCCCATTAAATCTTTCAATCACTTTTTATGGATTGTCTTTTTTTAAAAATTGGTTTATACTCCTTACCTCCAATATTTTAGATACATGCCTTTTTCAGTTATAGGTGTACATATCTTTTGTCTTGCCTCTTTTCCGTAATTTTTTTTAGCACGTTAGTAATGATCACATTCATCATGGGAGACTTGTACATGTACATAACATTGCTTTTTTGTCCCTTTCCTCTCTCTTTAAACCTTCTTCTCCATTTACAAAAGCTCTATTTTTTCATCTTCTTTTTCTTTAAATCCCTTTTCTCTTCGTTTCCTCCTCCCCTCCCCATCTCTTGTTCCCTTCTCATTTGAAAAAGTTCTTCCTACTTCCTAATGCCTATCCTCCATTTTGCTTCTTAGTTGCATTTTCAAGTTCTTACATAAGAACCAATATGATAAACTTGTGTGTCTGATTTATTTCACTTAAAATCGTGCTGTTAAGGTGATGTATGAGGTTAGAGGAAAAATCACTTACCTAAAAATGCTTAGCTTAACTTTTTTATGTTGGAGTAGTATTCTAGTCTCTCTTTTATAATGGTGCCTTCTGATGAATAGAAATTCTTAATGTTCATGCGGTCCAATTTAATCATACTTTTATATTTTAATAAGTAATTATGCCTAACAAATCTTAAAGGCTTTCTGAGTTTATCTTCTAGACACTTTGTTAATTTTGCCTTCCACAGTTAGGTCTAAAATTCATATGGAATTAGTTTCTTTCTTATGTGGAAGGTAGTGATCGGATTCAGTTCTTCCCCTATTGATATTTAGTCCATCAAGCACCCATTTATTCTTACTGCTTGAACCAACAAATCCAACCACACACACAAAAATTTCTTCCATGTTACTAGAAATGTTACTAGAGAAGGCATTAAATGTTTATTAAAAGTACTTTCTTGAATACCTGATGTTTTGATTAACAGTTCTTAAGTTTATGTTGATATTTCTATTAATACACATTTTAAAAAATATTTTTAAAATGCCTGTGTAAGCCGACTTTCCATTGTTATAACAGAATAACTGAGAAAATCAATTTATAGCAGAAAAGGTTTATTTGGGCTCACCATTTCAGAGGTTTGGATCCATGTTTGCCTGACTCAGTTAGAACAGTGGAGCCTGAGGTGAGGCAGAGATCTCCACAATAGGAGTACATGGTAGAGGAAGCTGTTTATTTCATGACAGCCAGGAAGCAAAGAAAGGTAGGGAACAGAAAGCTGGACACAGGATACACCCCCTGCACACAAACTGGATTCTGGCTCCTAAGTTTTTATCCCCTTCCAATAGTTCATCAAATTATGAACCTGTCAGTGAATTAATCTATTGATGAGATCAAAGCCCTATGATCTAATCTCTTCCCCAAAGCCCCACCTCTGAACATTGCTGCATTAAGGACCATACCTTCAACATATTAGCCTTTGGGAGACATTTCAGACCCAGATGATAATCCCTCCATAAAAATATGAACTGTAGAAGTAGTTATTAGTTTTACTAATTAGAAGGTTCAGTTATCCTCAGCTTTTTGCTCATTTTGATTTGTAACATTCGTGTGCTTAAAAGATGACTTTTCATGGTGAATGGTGTATATAATATATGGAGCAATACAGAATTAGCAAGAACTAATACAGAATTCTAAACTGTTTGCTTTTCAGGAAACATTCTGATGGTAAATTACCATCAGAGTCAACTAATAGTGGGAAAAACAAGAGAGAGATAGATTTTGAAGGCACAGATGAACCCATTTTTGGAAAGAAGCCCAGGATAGAAGAGTCAATAACTGAAGATCTCAGGTAATATTTCCATAGTCATAAATGTTAGTAAATCTTTATTTGGGGATTGTATGAAGTTTTAAAAAATGCTTCTATGTTGGCATTTTATGTGAAATGAAAATGGTATATTTATGTATACATAGAAGCCTAGTGAAATGAAAATGGTATATTTATGTATACATAGAAGCCTATAAATGTAGAACATTTAAGGTTAAACAATTAGATGACAATGTAAAAATGACTCTTGATAATTTAGAATCCAATTTTGAGAGCCTTGAAATTGATTTTTTTAAAAGAAAAAGTGTATTTTATTTGTTAATAAAATGATGATCACTGAAGGAGTATAATACTTTAGTATATGTGCTGCCAGGTCGAGCACTGGAGTAATAGAATAAGAGGAAACAGTAAAACTTACCCAGTGGAAGGAATAGTGGAAGGAATTAGATTTTTCATTGTTTTATGTAGCAGTGAGATGGCTATCAATCTCAAGGCACTTGTCAATGAGGAAAACCAAAGGATATCTGTGGCTGGATATTTTCTGTTACTGGTGTTTCTCAGATTTTGGAAGTTAGAAATTCTTTTTTTTGGTACCAGGAATCAAACTCAGGACCTTGTGTTTGCTAAGCAGGCGCTTATACCGCTGAGCTATATCCCTGGCCCTGCAGAACTTCTTAGTTGATACCGATATTTTTAGTTGATCTGATCCTGTTGTAATGATATTTACAATTTTTGCTTTTTCCTTCTATATTCTTGGTTGATATTATAATGTTTTTCTGGTTTTTTTTAACCAGTTACTGTTACAGCTAGTAAAATTATCTACTGTAAATGCTGAAAGATGTGTCATTGAAGTATTTAACATGTACCACTTACTGAAACTATTATAATAAGTTACAAAATAATACTGGTAGTTTAAAAGTCTTTTTTACTTATTGTAACTTTCGGGTTTTATACAAGCTGTGGTTATTGACTTCATATATCAGAAATACTTCTGATATGCTACCTAAGCGAGCACAAGTATCAGAAGTATAATAAATGAAAAAATAATTAATCTAGCATAGAAATGTACATCTAATTTTCCTCCTTTTATTTACAGTTGTGACCTCTCAGGAGTCTAAATGGAGACTGTAGATGATAATAATGTAGAATTTTGATGAGAATAAGGAATGCTTTGAAATTACAGCATGATCTGAATTAGACCAGTTTATTTCATATACTCTGTGGTGTGATGAGTTTTACAACTGGTTTCCTTTTGAAATCATAATGGTACTTCATAGAAGAGCTTGTTATTCAAAACTAAGATGACATAATTTTTGAATAATTTGTTTGGCAGTTTATTTTGTATTCATAATAAAGACGTTAACTGAGTAATTTGAATTTTCAGCACGTACTATATATGAATAATGTGACAGAATTTCTGAATATTAATAGCTGAGAGTTTTCTAATTTGGAATATTGATAATTGGCCAGTATAATTTTATTTACAATGCAGATTGGGAGGATTATTATTTACTCTAGAAAAATAATGTGTGTTTCATTTTAATCACTGTTTTTAAGTTTGGCAGATCTGATGCCCAGGGTTAAGGTACAGTCTGTTGAAACTGTTGAAGGATGTACACATGAGGTAAGTACAAACAATATACAATTAGGTTAATATTAAAATGGGATTTTTCTTTATACTGTCTGCAAAACGATGAGCAAGCATTTTCACCTTAAAGGCCTTAGAAACAATAAGGAGATTGTGCAGGATGCATGTAATCTAATGGAAGAGCTGGAATTTTATTATGAAACCTGGGTTCAGATGCTGTCTAGCAATTTTCTTGACTCTAGGCATGCACACATGTATGTGTAAATCTGTTAGTAAGTTTATGGTATATAATGATTACATTATCACGGGAAGTTGATACATGGGTGTAATACATCGTAATTTCTGTCCTCTTTTGCAAAAAATCTGTCTCCCTCTTTCCTATTATCTCTTATTTTTTACTCTTACATTTTCGGTTTCTCATAGAAGAGAACCTATGTAATGTGTCTAATTATTTCATTCAGCATTTTTAAAGGTGTATCCAGTTTCCTACAGATGACTCAGATGTATCCTTTATGGCAGAATAGTACTCCTGTTGTGTATGTGACTTTTTCATCCATTTATCCATTGATGAACATATAGGCCACTTTTGTAATTTAGCTGTTATGAGTTATACTGCTATACAGTTGTTCCTATAAAGATAGTAATGAATATATCACTGTAATATGATATCTATAACTCTAAAAGGGGAATTGAATGGAATTTCTAGTTTTAGTATATTGAGGAATTACCATACTGATTTCCGTAGTGATTATACTAGTGTGCATTCCCACCTATAGAATAGAAGGATTCATTTTCCCCTGCAGCCTTGCCAGCATTTATTATTTGATTTTGTAATTATGTCAAGTCTTTCAGTGTAAGATGAATCTGTGTTGTTTTAATTTGCATTTCTCTGCTAGTCAAGATGTTGAACATTTTTTCATGTGTTTGCCATTTTTATTACTTTTTCTGACCACTGTCTATTCATTTCATTTGCCCATGTTTTGATTGGGTGTTTTATCTTTGGCAGTTAAATTTTTTTCTTAGTTCTTTGTATGGTCTTCTGTCCTCTGTCTGAGAATTAGCTGAAGGTCATGAATTTCTTAATGTTTTCTTTTCCGGTAGTGGGAATCGAACTCACGACCTCATGCTTGCCAGGCAGGCACTGTGCCACTGAGCTAAATCTCCAGCCCCTTCTCCGTCAATTTTGAAAGGTAGTTTTGCAGGATGTGTCATTCTGGGTTGGAAGTTATTTTCTTTTAGGGTTTGAAACACTTTATTTGAAGCTTTCCTGGCCTTTAAGGTTTGTGTTGAAAAATCTGCTGTAATAATAAAGGATTTAGCTTGTCTCTAAACTGCTTTTCAGATTCTGTCCTTTGGTTGCATTTCTAGAACTTTGATTCTGTCCTTTGGTTGGATTTCTAGAATTTCTAGAACTCCTGTCAATATTAAACTACATGAGGTTTGTATTTAATAACTCAGTTTCTCAAAATCATAATAGAGGAATTATCTTAAAGGAAAGACTGATAAAAACTATTCTGTTTCCAAAAGTTTTCATTTACCTTGCTGAGTTGTGAAACAATAGACTCAAAAATTAATTTTTCAATTAAGGAGTTAAGGAATTCAATTAAGTTTCAATTAGGGTGTTAAGGAATTCTTTTCTGATCATGGCTATTTTGGTTTCTGTATGCCTCACTTTCTGTATGTTAAAGTTCTTCACCATAATTGGAAAGTTTTTTTTAAAAAATCAGCATATGAACATTAAAAAGCATCTTTTATTTTGGGTTGCATTTTAGCTACTATATTGGCTTTCTTCTCTTGTGGTTGTGGCCATTCATTAAATATTTTAGAGCCAGGTTCATTTTATTATGTACTAATAAAAAAATTAAAAGATAAAAAAGACGTGATCCTTTTTCATAATTTCTTTTTGCTTAAGAAGTTGTTCAATGTCCTGACTTCTCATTCATCTTTTAATCAGGCTAGTATAATTTTATCTTTTTTCTGTCCAATTCTTTGAAATTATTCTGGCAAAAATCACCACTGACTGCTGAATATTTGACTCTTGACCATTGTCCTGGTATTCTGTTTTTCTGACATATTTCTGTGGGCTTCTCCTTTATGTGTGTTACGTTGGCGTTACCCAGACTCTTCAAAGATAAAAACTAACTCTTTGATTCTTAGAGATGTAAAAACATAATTTTGTTATTGTTAAGTCCCAGGCATGTTGAATTTTTGTTTTTTGGTTTTTTTTTTGTTTTTGTTTTTGTTTTTCTCCGGTACCGGGAACCGAACTCACGACCTTGCGCTTGCCACGCAGGTGCTTTTGCCGCTGAGCTAAATCCCCAGCCCTGAATTTTTAACTACTCACTGCTGATATTCTTTATTTATATCATAGAAAGTATCAGAGAGATGTGACAGAGGTCAACTAACTAACCAGCCATATATGGCTCTATAGTTGATCATTTGTGGTGGGAATCACATCATCATTTTGGGTCTAGCATTTACATTCATATCTAGAAAATTGCTTTTGTCACTATACCAAAGGTTGGAGACTCTAGGATAGTCTCATATTCATCATACATACAAGAGATAGAGGAAGTGTTCTAAAGAATCTCATTTCTTAGGCTGAGGATATAGCTCAGTGGCACAGTGCAAGCTCAAGGTCCTGAGTTTGATTCCTGATACCAAAAAAAAAAAATTCTCCTTTCTTTAAATTTAGTGGATAAGTAGTCCTGTCTGTGTTAAACTACTTGAGGATTGTGTTTAATAACTCAGTTTCTCGAAATCATAATAGAGATATTGTCTTAAAGACTGATAAAAACTGTTCTCTTCCCAAAAGTTTTCATTTACCTTGCTGACCTGTGAAACAATGGACTCATAAATTAATTTTTCAAAACTCTACTAGATAAACTACCAAATTGTTTAGATTCCATTTGAACATCACATTTCATTTGATACATTCTTTGTACTTGAAATTATTGTGTTAATACTTTATGTTGCCCTTTTCTTCAATATAGTTGGTTCTTAGTCTTTCTAAAATTCTGCCCATGTCATCTTGATATTAATTGAGTCATAAGTTTACTACTAATTTCTCAGTATTTCTTTTTTTTTTTTTTTTTGGTACCAGGAATTGAACTTAGGACTTTGTGCTTGCCAGGCAGGCACTTGTGCCGCTGAGCTATATTCCCAGCCCTCTTGGTATTTCTAAGGCAGCTAATATCCATTTTTCTTAACAGAAATTTTGCTTTTAGAAGTGATAACTTAATTTCTGTGTATCTCTTAATTTGGTCTTGTAAGCTATTTATATGCTAATTGGTTCCTATTGTATTCCTATGTATAGTTAGAAATACGTAAGCATTATTAGTATCATTTTATTCCACATAGTTTGCTTTCATATGGTGACATACCATATAAGTTAATTCAGCTTTTTTGAGCATTCATTAGTGTCAGTAAATATAGTTGATACTAGAAATAAGTAAGATAGCTGCTGGACCTTAATAAGCACGGTTTCTTCAGGGGTATCCCCTTACAAATCTTTAGTAGCTTTTGCCTTAGGCCAATTGTAGTAGAGGTGTATAGTATTTGAATGTTAATAGTTTTACTATGTAAATAGTTTACTAATGTAAATAGTTTTACTTTTTGTCTTGTTCTTAAAGATATTTATTTTTGCAGTACCTAGGACTATCAAAACATTCTAACTGGTCATAGTGGCCTACACATTTAATCCAGCTATTCAGGAGGGTACAGTGGGAGAATTGCTTGGGCTCACGAATTTGAAACCATCCTGGGAACCATAGTGAGACTGTGTCTCAAATAAAAATAAAAGAAACATTCTAGTTCATCACTTCTGTTTTTCAGGCCTTTATTAATTTTGAAGTGTTGAATATCAAATAGATTTGTGATTTTTTGTGTGTGTGTGAATTTGACAACAGGTTGCACTTCCTGCTGATGAAGATTATTTACCACTTAAGCCTCGGATTGGAAAAGCGGCAAAGGTTTGTACTTTGTATTATATAGTTTACAAAATTTTGTGAGACTTTATTAGAAATCTTCAAAAAAATGTTCAGATAAAATTTGCTTACTTCCCAATGTAAATTTGCCAGGAAGAAGTCAGCTACAAAATACAGTGAAAACCAAATTACATTACTAAATAGCTGTACTAGAAAACAAGTATCATATGATAAGAGTTTCAAACCCTAAAATAGTGATGCTCAACTTTTTAAAAGAATTTAAGGAAGTTGTTATCCTTTCTGTTAAATAAATGCATGTATACAAATTTTGCCTTTAAGGGGTTAAACAAGCTTCCAATGAAATCTAAACTCTGCTTTTACTAGATGGGCTTTGAAGATATGGTAGATCTTAAAAGGTCAAAAATAATTCTGAGGCTGTTTTTTTCCAAGTAAGTTTCTCTAAGCAAAAAAAGCAATTTGGTGGAGTAAGCATCAACTCTTTAAAAGACTTAATAGATGAATTGTTACACCTTCTGTGTGTACTCGAGTGAGAGGTATCATACTGCAGAGCCTCAGTTCTCATTAGGAAAAAAAAATGCTTATTTTAGTGTTACTAAGATTGGTGGTAATGTTTGGAAAATATGTTGCATAGTACCTACTATTTCTTGGTAAATAGTAAACAATAGTATAATGGAAAGATTAAATGGCAGAACTAACTTCTTTGATGTCTAGAAAAAGATGTTTTTCCTTTTTCTAATTTTCCCTAGTGTGGTATTCCTATATAGAATGTTAAAGAATGTTAAAAGAGTGCTTTTTTTTTTGACTTGGAGTGTATTTGAGATAGCTTTGTATTTTTCATCCAGTAATTAATGTTTTTGTTTTTATAGGAATACCCATTTATTCTTGATGCTTTCCAAAGAGAAGCCATTCAATGTGTTGATAATAATCAGTCTGTTTTAGTATCTGCACATACATCAGCAGGAAAAACTGTATGTGCTGAGTAAGTAACTTTCCTTTTAATGAAATGTTAAAAATTTATTTTATTAATGAGCATGGTGGCACATGCCTATAATCCCAGGAATTGGAAGGGCTGAGGTAAAAATATGTCTGCACATTTGAGCCCCGCCTGGGCTACATTGTGAGTTCAAGGCCAGCCTGACCTACATACTAAGACCCTATCTTAAAACAACAAACAAAAGAATTCACTGTATTGTATTTTGTGTTTTTTGTCTTTAAAAGTTACTATCTTTTGGTTTGATTTATATAAAGTTGGTTATGCTTATGTCTTTATATTTAGATACCTTTAATTTCTTTTTCTGACTCTACTAAACTAAGATCTTTAATATAGTGTTTTAATAAAAGTTATGAGAGAAGGCATCCTTGCCTGAGTCCTGATTATAGAGGAAATATACTGTATTTTTCATCATTAAACCTATAGGTTTTTCATAGATCCTTTTTAACAGCTTGGGAAAGGTTCCTTCTGTTTTTATCTTTTTTTTTTTTTTGGTTTTTCTCCGGTACCGGGAACCGAACTCACGACCTTGCGCTTGCCAGGCAGGTGCTTTGCCGCTGAGCTAAATCCCCAGCCCCTCTTCTGTTTTTAGTTTGCAGAGATTATGTGTTTTGTGTATGTGCATATAAAATATTTAGATACTGGATTTTCTCACGTGCTTATTTGCGTGGATTGAAGTGATTCTGTTTTGTTCTGCTAATGTGATAAAACTTGTTGATTGGTTTTCAAATGAATAATTCTGAGATAAATTGCATTTGGTCATGATATATATAGAGAGCCCCTCCTGGTACTGGTCATGCCTGGGAAGTTTATACTTGCAATCCCGTGGAAAAATTACTGGGATTCTAGGGAGTTAATTCCAATCTACCACTTCCAGTACCCACAATCCCAGGCAAAAACCCATGGTGAGAATAAAGACACTAAGGCATATTTATACTTGTGGGGAGTCAAGGGGTCCTAAGTCCAGATAGGATAATGGCTAACTGGAATAAAGACCTTGACCCAGGCCCAAACCTGGGTTTTACTACTTTGTGAAGAAGGGAGTGGCTTGAGGATGAGTGACTGTGAGAATGGCTGGAAGTACATGAGAACTGTGAGCTGGGCTAGGTAGGAGGCCTGAAAGCACCTCTGCAATATGCAGAGAGAAGGATATGCACAAAGAGTAAACTTCATAATACAGTTGAGGTAGTATCTGACGTTTGGGGTCAGTGCTGCAGCTCTGAAGTGTAATCTTTTAGGCCCTGGGCAGTCATAGCCTTTTATCTTGAGGCGCGATCCCAGCCTACAGCATGGAGCACAGCATGCCTCTCCACCCTGCCCTGACTCACAGAGTGAGGAAGCACTGCCCTGTAGCCTTGCTTCGAAGACTACACATCAGCATGTGCCCTGGACCGATTTGCATTGCTAAAAGCCAATTGAAGGGAGAAGGAAGAAGTCCTAGCCAGCTCAGTACAAATCAGTACATAGAAACGGGGCCAGGTTTAGCCAAAATGAAGATAATTGCTCTTCTTTCAAAGAGAGTCCTCCAGGTTTTCCTCCACAGATATGTAAATATATTATTATATTGTTGAATTTCTAAAAATTTTATAAAGAATTTTCACATTTGTGTGCCTGAGGGTTATTGCTTTTTTAGTTTATTATGATAGGTTTTCTTTTTTTCTGATTTTGATATAAAGGTGGTCTTGGCTTCTCTCTTTTTGTTTTTTCTCCCTGATTGATCTGGCTGGAAGCCAGGCATGGTGGTGCATGCCTGTAAATACCTGTAATCCCTGCACTCGGGAGGCTGAGGCAGGAGGAACTTTGTGAGTTTACCAAAAAAAAAAAAAAAA